ATGCCATTCTGTTTTGGTTTGAGTATTCAGTCCATTGACATTCAAGGTAGTTATTGATACTTGCATATTTACCACCAGTTTAAACCTTGTTTCCCAGTCTATTCTGTTTCCTTTTTGTTCCTTTGTCTTTTTCTGTTTCTTTTTGTGGTTTGATGATTTCCTTTTCTCTTACCCTTGTATTCTCTTTGGTCTTTTTTTTTTTTTTAACTATTGTATGTTTTTGATTTGTGGTTGCCCCTTTTTTCAGGTATGTTAACCTTTTCCTATATCTGCTTGCTTTAGGCTGATAGTCATATAGGCTCAAACACATTCTAAAAAATAAGAATCAACATTTTCTTACTCCTTCCCCACATTTTATGATTTTGATGTCCCTTTTTACATCACATCTTGTTTATCCTTTTACTGTTCCTTGTGTTTATCTTCCTTTCATAAATAGGTTTTTTTCCAATTTGATCTCTATACTGGCTAACTTAAGTGATTTACTTTCCAACTGTGAGTTCCTCTTTACTGTATCTTTCTTTTCTATTTAGAGAAGACGACCTTTCAATATTTCTTTCAGGATAGGTTTAGTATTGCTGTATTCTCTATTTTTTGCTTATCTGAGAAATTCTTTATTTCCCCATCCTTAATGATATTCTTGCTGGGTAGAGTACTTCGTATTGCAGATTATTCCCTTTTTAAACTTTGAACATACTTTGCCACTCCCTTCTGGCTTGCATCATTTCTGTAGAGCAATCAACTGATAACCTTATGGCAGTTCCCTTGTAATTAGCTGTTTTTCTCTTGCTACCTTTAGAATCTTGTCTTAACTTCTGCTGTTTTTATGATATGTCTTGGTGTGGATTTGTTTGGCACCCTCTGTGCTTTCTCTGTCTGAATATCTGATTCCTTCTTTAGGTTTGGATAGTTTTCAGCTATAATTTCATCAAATTTTTTCAGCTATAATTTCATCAAATACATATTTAATCACCTTTTCTCCTCCTTGAATCACTTTTATGTGTATATTGGCACACTTTATTGTATTATCCCATTGATCTCTTATAATGCCTTTTTTTCCCCCATTTGACTTTCTCTCTACTGCTTTGATTGGGTAACTTTCATGATGAAACCTGAGCCTCAGCACCCAGCCTCCACCTGCCCCATTGAAGGAACATCTGAGGCTGGGGACTGCCAGGCACCCATCCCAACTGACAATGCAGGTCTTTCCACTCTGCCCTCCACAGACTGGTTGCTGTGCTCCCTTCCAAGGCTCCTTGCCCCCTTCTCCCCCATCCCAGCTCATCTCCCCACCAGTGAGGTGACTTCCCCAGGGATGAAAACCTTTTATTTTTCACCATTCCCTCCCAGGAGCAGTCCCATCCCAGTTCCCTTCTCTTTATCTTTTCCCCTTTTTCTTTTGTCCTACCCAGTTATGTGAAGGTTTTCTTACCATTTTGGAAGTCTGAGATCTTCTGTGATGTTCAGTAGATGTTCTGTGAGAATTGTCCCCAGTGGATGTATTTTGATGTATTTGTGGGAGAACGTGAGAGCCACATACCGCTCCTCTGCTGTCTTGAGCCGTTTTGACTGTATTTACATTTTTCAGAACCAGTTTTCTTCCTATATGGAAGTGATACTATATATTTACCTTGGAAAGAAAATGCTCATTATGTTCATTTTTACTTTTTGGTTGTATTTTACCTGATAATGATTTGGACTTTGCACTCATTTGTCAGCATTCGCATGTCTGGATTTTCCTATAAGTGGTAGTGTGTGTATTTGCATGACTGTCCCCAGATTCAGGGATGTGAAATACAGTAAAGCCTGTGTAGAGATAAACTCATGTCCTTAACTTATCTGTGTCATATTTAGGATCAGTTAGCAAAGCCAGTTAGATTGGCCTCAATCACTATAATAGAAAAGGCAGAGAGGCTAATTTTTTTTTTGCGATACCTGAATTACTGTTGTTGTTCACTCACCAAGTTGTGTCTGACTCTCTTGTGACCCCAAACTGCAGCACGCCAGGTTTCCCTGTCCTTCACTATCTCCCTGAGTTTGCTCAAACCCATGTCCATCAAGTCGGTGATGCCATCCAACCATCCCATCCTCTGTCGCCCCTTCTCTTGCCCTCAGTCTTTCCCAGCATCAGGGTCTTTTCTAGTGGATCAGGTCTTCGCATCAGGTGGCCAGAGGATTGGAGCTTCAGCATCAGTGCCTCCAATGAATATTCAGGGTTGATTTCCTTTACAGTTGGTTTGATCTCCTTGCAGTCCAAGGGACTCTCAAGTCTTCTCCAACACCACATTTCAAAAGCGTCAATTCTTCAGCACTCTGCCTTTTTTATGGTCCAGCTCTCACATCCACACATGACTACTGGAGAAGCTATAGCTTTGACTATTCAGAGTCTTGTCAGTAAAGTGATGTTTCTACTTTTTAATACATTGTCTAGGTTTTTCATAGCTTTTCCTCCAAGGAGCAAGCATCTTTTAATTTCAGACTGCAGTCACCATCCGCAGTGATTGTGGATCCCAAGAAAAAATCTGTCACCGTTTCCATTTTCTCCCCATCTGTTTGCTATGAAGTGATGGGACCAGATGCCATGATCTTTGTTTTTGAACATTGAGTTGTAAGCCAGCTTTTTGACTCTCCTGTTTCACTTTCATCGAGAGACTCTTTAGTTCCTCTTCACTTTCTGCCTTTAAAGTGGTATCATCTGCATATCTGTGGTTGTTGGTATTTCTCCCAGCAATCTTGATTCTTACTTGTGATTCATCCAGCCCTGCATTTCACACGATGTACTCTGCCTAAAAGTTAAATAAGCAGATGACAGTATACAGCCTTGATGTACTCCTTTTGCAATTTGGAACCAGTCCATTGTTCCATGTCCATTTCTAACTGTTGCTTCTTGACCTGCATACAGATTTCTCAGGAGGTAAGGTGGTCTGACATTCCTATGTAAGAATTTTCCACAGTTTGTTGTGATTCACACAGTCAAAGGCTTTAGAGTAGTCAATGAAGCAGAAGTAGATGTTTTTCTGGAATTCTCTTGCTTTTTCTATGATCCAACGGATGTTGGCAATTTGATCTCTGGTTCTTCACCTTTTCTAAATCCATATGAAACTTCTTGGTTCACATACTGTTGAAGGGTAGCTTGGAGGATTTTTAACATAATCTTGCTAGCATGTGAGATGAGTGCAGTTGTATAGTAATTTGAACATTCTTTGGCATTGAAATGAAAACTGACCTTTTCCAGTTCTGTGACCACTGCTGAGTTTTCCAGATTGCTTGCATATTGAGTGCAGCACTTTAACAGCATCATCTTTTAGGATTTGAGAGAGTTCACTTGGAATTCCATCACCTCCACTAGATTTGTAGTAATGCTTCCTAAGTCTGCTTGACACTTCACACTCCAGCATGTCTGGCTCAGGTGAGTGACCACACCATCGTGGTTATCTGGGTCATAAGATCTTTGTATAGTTCTTCTGTGTTTTGTTGCTATCTCTTCTTAATCTATTCTGCTTCTGTTGGGTCCTTTCCATTTCTGTCCTTTATTGTGCCCATCTTTGCATGAAATGTTCCCTTGGTATCTCTAATTTTCTTGAAGAAATCTCTAGTCTTTCCTGTTCTTTTGTTTTCCTCTGTTTCTTTCCATTGTTCACTTAAGAAGGCTTTCTATCTCTCCTTGATATTCTCTAGAACTCTGCTTTCAGTTGGGTGTATCTTTCCGTTTCTCCTTTTCCTTTTGCTTCTTTTCTTTTCTCAGCTATTTGTAAGGCCTTGTTAGAAACCACTATGCCTTCTTGCATTTTTCTCGGGGATGGTTTTGGTCACTAGATCCTGTACAGATTCACGAACCTCTGTCCATAGTTCTTCAGGCACTCTGTCTACCAGATCTAATCCCTTGAATCTTTTCGTCACTTCCACTGTATAATCATAAGGGATTTGATTTAGGTCATACCTGGATGGCCTAGTGGTTTTCCCTACTTCAGTTTGAGCCTGAATTAGCTGATTATCTGAGCCACAGTCAGTTCCAGGTCTTGTTTTTGCTGACTGTATAGTTTCTTCATCTTCGGCTGCAAAGAATAAATCAGTCTGATTTTGGTATTGACCATCTGGTGATGTCCGTGTGTTGAGTCGTCTCTTGTGTTATTGGAGGAGGGTGTTTGCTATGACCAGTTCATTCTCTTGGCAAAACTTAGCCTTTGCCCAACTTCATTTTGTAATCGAGGACCATCTGAATTAAATTTACCCTTTCCTGTCCATTTTAGTTCACTGATTGCTAAAATGTTGTTGTTCACTTTTGCCATCTCCTGTTTGGCCATGTCCAATTTACCATGATTTATGAACCTAACATTCCAGGTTCCTATGCAATATTGTTCTTTATAGCATCAGACATTATTTTCACCACCAGACACAACTGGGCGTCATTTCTGCTTTGGCTCAGCCTCTTCATTCTTTCTAGAGCTAAGTCTCTGCTCTTCCCCAGTGGCATATTAGACACCTACCGCCCTGGGGGGGGGCTCATCTTTCAATGTCATATCTTTTTGCCTTTTTATACTGTTCATGGGATTCTCACTGCGTGAATACTAAAGTGGTGTTCCCTTCTCCTGTGGACTGTGTTTTGTCAGGCCCTGACTAGCAGGGACATGCCCTTCATCTGTTCCACGTAGCCGGGAGCCCTGGTTGTCCCACTGCTGGTCCTCTTGAGTGTGTAAACCTTCATTGGTTGCTGGGTGTTGGTCAGCATATTGCCTAGGGGCCTGGGCAAAGGCCCTGCTGGAGTTGCTGGGAAGGAGGTCCGGGGAAGCCTGGAGCTGACCAATGTTGGAGGATACCCAGGAGCAGAGGGCTCCCTGGTCTCTCTGCTGCCGCTGCCCACCCTGGGGCTAATCCTCCACCTAGGAGTCATGAGGAGCAAAGGATAACTGAATGTTGTCTACTAACTCAGGAAGCTTTGTGGTACTAAATGTATAATGCATGTATCGGGGGCATGTTAGTTATGTGAACTCTTTTAATTAAAGTGAAAAGAGCAGCGCTGGGATTGACCATGCAGAGGAGATGGAGTTGCTGTTGGAGAACTACCACCGATTAGCTGAGGATCTTTCCAACGCAGCTCGGGAACTCAGGGCACTGATCGATGATTCACAGAGTATCATATTCATCAATCTGGACAGGTAAGACGGTGTCATAGAAAACAATCCATATTTTTTTAATAAAGTAACTATTGCACAGTAATAAAGTGTTTAAGTCTAGCTTTGTTTTTCCATTTTGGAAAGAATTATCCCATCATTATCATTTATAACTGCTACATGGGAGTGTCTTTTTAAGGTGTTTGTTTAGCCCACATGATCTTTAATAGTGAATTTGCGGTGCTTGGTTGGTGGGCCCTTCTGATCTAAGCAGTTGTTCTCCTCCCCAGCCACCGTAATGTGATGATGAGGTTGAACCTACAGTTGACCATGGGAACCTTCTCTCTTTCGCTCTTTGGGCTAATGGGAGTTGCTTTCGGAATGAATTTGGAATCTTCCCTTGAGGAGGTGAGAATGTATTATTTCAGTAATCTAGGGATGGTTTTTAATATTTTGAAGATCATTTCTTTTTCATGGATTTAATTTTTTTTTCATTATTTACTTCACTTGGTCAGCTTTTAGCTGTGGCACTAGAAATATTCATTGTTGTCATGCAGGATCTTCCGTTGCAGTGCATGGACTCTCTAGTTGTGACTTGGAGGCTCCAGAGCGCATCAGCTCAGTAACTGAGGCATGGAGGCTTCGTTGCTCCAAGTCATGTGGGATCTTAGTTCCTGGACCAGGGATTGAACCCGTGTCCCCTGCATTGCACAGTGGATTCTTAACCCCTGGACTACTTTAATGGATTTTAAAAAGAAAGTTCTAACATGTATAGTTGCTTATTGGAATAAAATGGGTGCTGTAAATCATTTAAAATTCAAACAGTATTGTTAGACCCTGTAAGGTAGAATGGCCTAGGTTTGAACAGACCAGAGCCTGTGCTGAGATTCAGGAAACTGTCACATAGGGCAGTTTCGGACTACTTTATGTTTCCCATAACGGATAACTACACATGGGAGAGGCTTGACAACAGCATTACACTGTGAGGCTGTGGTAATGAGGGATTTTTTTTTCCCTTATATATCAGGCAATGTGCCATGCAGTTGCATGCTTTGATTTGGTCATCAAAAGTCTGAAAATGAATGTATTTTCCCTGCTTTTTTTTTATAGGTAGAAAAACTGAGGCTGAGAATATAATTTGCCCAAGAGCACAGAGCTAGGAAACAACAAAACTAGGATTTAGGCTCCAAGACTTGCATCTTTCACTTTGCTCCATATTTAACACTGACTGGCAGAGTGTTCATGTCCTTGTAGCCTTGTACTTTCAGAAGATGTCCCACTGTGAGGTTTCTTTTTTCTTTTTTTAATTGAAGGATAATTGCTTTACAGAATTTTGTTGTTTTCTGACAAACCTCAACATGAATCAGCCATGAGTATACATATATTCCCTCCCTTTTGAACCTCCCTCGCCATCCCACCCCTCTAGTTTGATACAGAATCCCTGTTTGAGTTTCCTGAACCATACAGCTAATTCCCACTGGCTATCTATTTCACATATGGTAATATAAGTTTCCATGTTACTCTCTCCATACATCTCACCCTCTCCTCCCCTCTCCCCATGTCCATCAGTCTATGCTCTATGTCTGTTTCTCTGTTGTTGCCCTGTAAATAAATTCTTCAGTGACATTTTTCTGGATTCCATATATATTCATTAGAATATGGTATTTATCTTTCTGACTTCACTCTGTATAATAGGCTCTAGGTTCATCCACCTCTTCAGAACTGACTCAAATGCATTCCTTTTTAAGGCTGAGTAATATTCCATTGTGTATATGTACCACCACTTCTTTATCCACCATCTGTCAATGGACATCTAGGTTGCTTCCATGTTCTAGCTATTGTAAATAGTGCTGCATTGAACGTTGGGGTGCTTGTATCTTGTTCAGTTTTGGTTTCCTCAGGATATATGCCTAGGAGTGGGATTGCTGGGCCATATGGTGGTTTTATTCCTAGTTTTTTAAGGAATCTACATACCATCTTCCATAGTGGCTGTATCAATTTACATTCCCACGAACAGTGCAAGAGCATTCCCTTTTCTCCACATCCTCTCCAGCATTTATTGTTTGTAGACTTTTTGATGAAGGCCATTCTGACCAGTGTGAGGTAGTATCTCATTGTAGTTTTGATTTGCATTTCTCTAATAGCGAGCGATGTTGAGCATCTTTTCATGTGTTTGTTAGCCATCTGTATGTCTTTGGAGAAATGTCTGTTTAGGTCTTTTTCCCACTTTTTGATTGGGTTTGTTTTTCTGGTATTGTGTTGTATGAGCTGCTTGTATATTTTGGAAATTAGTCCTTTGTCAGTTGTTTCATTTGCTATTATTTTCTCCCATTCTGAGGGTTGTCTTCACTTTGCTTATAGCTTCCCTTGCTGTGCAAAAGCTTTTAAGTTTAATCAGGTCCCACTTGTTTACTTTTGTTTTATTTTCATTACTCTAGGAGGTGGTTCCTAGAGGATCTTGCTTTGATTTATGTCATTGAGTGTTCTGCCTATGTTTTCCTCTTAAGAGTTTTATAGTTTCTGGTCTTACATTTAGGTCTTTACTCCATTTTGAGTTTATCTTTGTGTATGGTGTTAGGAAGTGTTCTAATTTCATTCTTTTCCATGAAGCTGTCCTGTTTTCCCAGCACCATTTATTGAAGAGACTGTCTTGCCCCATTGTATTTTCTTGCCTCCTTTGTCAAAAATAAGTTACCCATAGGTGCATGGGTTTATTTCTGGGCTTTCTATCTTGTTCCACTGGTCTGTATTTCTTCTTTTTTTTTTTTTTCATTAGTTGGAGGCTAATTTACAATATTGTAGTGGTTTTTGCCATACATTGACATGAATCAGCCATGGATTTACATGTGTTCCCCATCCTGAACCCCCATCCCATCCCTCTGGGTTGTTTTAGAAAAATATGGAACCCGTCACGAATTTGCATGTCATCCTTGCACAAGGGCCATGCTAATCTCTGTATTGTTCCAGTTTTAGTATATGTGGTGCTAAAGTGAGCACCTACTGTGAGATTTCTTTAGAAATGAATTTGCATTTGCATTCAGCAGGCACACTCTGGTACTGAATTCTGTGTCCTAATTAACAGGTGTGTTCTCTATGTCTGTTTTAAGTGGTCCCTTTTAAAAAGTGGTCTTTAAAAGAAGCAGTTCTAATGGTCATTCTTCTGTATAAAACTATTCGGTTGTGGCCGGGGGTGTGGGGAGTTGATTGTCCTTAAGATAGAAATCCAAGCTCCCTGGCCTGTGAGGCTTTTCCTGGCCTGCTGTGCCCACATCCCCATCTTGTCCACAGCCACCTTGTCCTCACTGTCCATTGATTCATCAGTATTCTTACACTGCTTCCACACATCTCTGCTCATCTCCCACCTTTTTTTGTCTGCTCTCTCTGTAGTTGCTGAGTCATGTCCGATTCTTGCAACCCCATGGATTGTAGCCCACCAGGCTCCTCTGTCCATGGGATTTCCCAGACAAGAATACTGGTGTGGATTGCCATTTCCTTCTCCAGGGGATCTTCCTGACCCAGTGATTGAACTTGCATCTTCCACATTGGCAGGAGGATTCTTTACCACTGAGCCACCAGGGAAGCCCCTCTTTTTTTGCCTAGTTAATGTCTATTTCTCTCCCAGGTTTCAACTGTTATGTTGTTTCCAAGGAGACTCTTCACTGACCCCACCCCCAACCCAGCTGAGTAAAATTACTCTTCTAGTTATTTGTGCCAAAATAATCCTACACTTCCCTTTGCCATGAATCTCAGACTTGGAATTGCTTGTCTGCAAAAGATCATAGGTGGCTCAACTGGTAAGCAATCTCCCAGGAGACCTGGGTTTGATCCCGGGGTTGGGAAGATCCCCTGGAGAAGGGAACTTCTCTGCCAACTTCAGTATTCTGGCCTGGAGAATTTCATGGACTCTATAGTCCATGGTGTCTCAAAGAGTCGGACACTATTGAATAACTTTGACTCACACACACCTGAAAAACATCATAAGCTCCCTGAAGCAGTGTTTGTCATCTCCTTATAAGATGTGAAAGAAACGTAAATGCAGTACATTGATTCACTCATCTTACAGATACAGTGTTTGGTGCCTGTTATGCACTAAACACTGCTTTTAGCTGTGGGGGTATAGCAGTGAATCCCTGCCCTTATGGACTCTGTTATAGTGGGGGAGAGAGAAGAAACAGATCCATGGTAGGATAGGCGATAAGTACCATAAAAAAAATTTTCTGAAGGAAATCAGTCCTGAATATTCATTGGAAGGACTGATGCTGAAGTTCCAGTACTTTGACCATCTGATGCCAAAGAACTGACTCTTTGGAAAAGACCCTGATGCTGGAAAAGATTGAAGGCAGGAAGAGAAGGGGACAACAGAGGATGCGATGGTTGGCTGGCATCACCGACTCAATGGACATGGGTTTGAGCAAGCTCCAGGAGTTGGTAATGGACAGGGAGGCCTGGTGTGCTTCAGTCCATGGGGTCGCAGAGCCAGACATGACTGAGTGACTGAACTGAACTGAAGCATAAAGAAAATTAAAGCCAGGTAGAGGGAGAGAGACTGTTAGCAGGAGAGACACGGGGCATTGTAGAGATAGCGTGGTTGAGGAAGGCCTTTCTGTGAAGGTGACCCGAGAGCAGAGCCTGAATGAAAGAGAATGTGGAAAGACCTGGGAGAAAAGGTGACCTAAGCAGAGGGCACCACACATGTGAAGACTGAGGCAGGTGCAGCGAGCTTGTTGAAGGAGCAGCAGGGAGGCCAGAGTGGCCAGAGGAGGGGCGTCAAGTGGAAGGAGAATGGCAGTGAGAGGGCAGAAGGACAGAGGAGGGAGAGCATGTTGATTTTGGAGCTTGGTAAGAGTTCGGGCTTATTCTAAGTGTGATGGGACTCTCTTAGAGGCTTTTAAGCCCAGATCTAGTAAAAAGTCCAGTAGTCACCAGACTGTCTTGTGCGACATAAACCAGCCCTGGACATCCTCAGAAGGTCCTTCTGAAGACCTCTGCCAGTTCTCCAGCTTGTGACCGTGTAACTCTACAAGTTCCTGTCCTTCTCCCAAGTCATTTTGTTAAGAACTATGTTTACATTCATATACTCTTTCTACAAGCTAACTCTATCTTATACTCATTCTAATATTTTTTTTTAAATGCATGGGTTTTTAAAATTTTTTTAAAAGAATTTTTAGAAATTCCTTTCTGATAGTTCCAACATATCCAATCCTGGTGGTAATGAGATATGAGTAGGAAGACGTGAGCTTAGTTTGCCCCCACAGAGCAAGATTCAGAACAGCGTCTCACCAGAGTTACAAATTACATCTTTAGGTTTCCTGGAGAAGAGTTAAGCATGTTCATTAAATCTATAAATATTAACGGTCTCTCTGTTCTTCTATAGTTAGGGTTAGGGAAAACATTTTTCTTCTTTAAGATAACATGAAACTATTTCAAGAATAGTAAAAATTACCATACAGCCTTTACCCAGATTCTTCAAACAGCAACATTTTATCATATTTATCATTCTGTCAGTATATATATATACTTTCTCCTAAGTCATTTGAGAATAAACAAATATGAAGCTGCCTTATGTCTAGATATTTCAGTATATATTTCCTAAAAACACTGACATTCTCTTACATAACCACAGCTCACTTGTGAAAATCAGAAAATTAGCGTTGAAACAGCACTGTTTTTCTGATCTGTGGACCCTGGTCAGATTTCACCACTCAGCACAGTAGAGCCCTTTACCTCATAAAAAATCTTGGATCGTGTGTTGCGTGTATTAACAGTTATTGTGTCTCCTCAGGTTCCTTTAATCTAGGCCAGTTTTCAGACTTTGTCTTTCAAAGACAAAGGGCCTTGATGCCCACAAAGAATGTAGGTCAGTTGTTTGGCTCTTGATTACTCTTCATTACTAGATTCTGATTGTGACACATTTTTGTCAGTGTTCTTCACATTGACTCCCATCAGGAGACCCTTGATGTCAGCTTGTCTCATTACTGGTGATACTAACTGATCATTTGGTTAAGGTGGTGTCTGCTAATTTTCTGTCCTCTGAAGTTACTTTCTCTGTGGAACAAAGTATCTTCTAAGAACACTGCCATTCATCAAATTTGCACCCTCTGGTTTTGTTTTGTTTTTTTTAATTGAAGTGTAGTTGATTGTGTTAATTTCTGCTGTACGGCATAGTAATTCAGTTATACATATAGTACATTTTTAATATTCTTTTCCGTTGTGATTTGTAATAGGATGTTGAATGTGGTTTTCTGTGCTATACAGTAGAGCCTTGTTATCCATTCTGTATATAATAGTTTACATCTGCTAACCCCAAACTCCCACTCCATCTCTCCCCCATGCCCCTTGGCAACCACAAGCCTGTTCTGTGTCTGTTTTGTAGACAGGTTCATTTGTGTCATATTTTAGATTCCACATATCAGTGACATCATATGTCTTTTTCTTTCTGACTGACTTAGTGTGCTAATCTCTGGGTCCATCTATGTTGCTGCAAGTGGCACTATTTCATTCTTTTTGTGGCTGAGTAATACTCCACTGTACGTAGGTACCACATCTGTATCTGTTCATTGATCCGGGACACTTTCGGTTGTTTTCATGTCTGTGGCTATCATGAATAGTGCTGCAGTGAACACTGGGGTCTTTTTGAGTCATGGTTTTCTCATATATATGCCATGGAGTGGGATTTCTGGATCATATGGCAGTTCTGTTTTTAGTTTTTTAAGGAACTGCCCTCCTGATTTCCATAGAGTCTGCACCAGCTTACATTCCTCCAGCAGTGTAGGAGGGTTCCCCTTTCTCCACACCCTTTCTAGCATTTGTTAACTGTACAGTTTTTAATGTGGCCATTCTGGCCAGTACAGGATGGCACCTGATTGTAGTTTTGATATGCATTTCTTTAATAATTTGCACCCTCTAGTTTTAGAATCTGCTGTTGCTCCAAAAATGCTTCATGCCTGAATCGGGTACTACAGGGATGACTATCACATGGTCATTGCTAATTCCATCATTCTTCCTACTTTTGTTCTTTGTCAGATAGAGCCTTCCTTCTCTCCCAGTTATTTATTCACTTGTGTCAGTATGGACTCATGGGGTCTTATTTAATCAGTGAGTTACAATCTGTCACAATGCCCTCATTATTTGTCTTGATGTTCATATTGTTCCTTTCATACCATCTTCTAAGTACTTTTGGCGTGTCTCCATCAGTTTAGGGCTGTTTTTTAGCAGCCTTTGGCATACCAGGATGCTGTAGGTGCCTTATTTCTAAGGAGTAGATTGGCTAGACGGTGGAGATGAAGAGCTCAAAACATAGGTACTTAAGCGTGCAATACTATACGGAATGCCCAAAGCTGGGGGGGGGGTGGGGAGGGGCGCGGAGGATGCATTGAAAACCCAACTTTGAGACACATTCCCCTCCCTTAATTTCCTAGAAGTCTCACACTCTGCTGCTCTGTGTATATTTTAATGACACATGGAGTTTTTAACTTGCTTACCTCTCAAGTTCATCATGTTTTAGCAATCCCAGACTTTATTTATAGGGCATTACAGAACCAGTCTACAGGAAAGAACAGTAATCTGGGTATGCTAAAGCTTACTTAAACATAATTTTTACATAATAAGTTAGGATCTTTTTTAGAATAACTGGAAATGTATTCATCCAGGCAGTCAACTGACATTCACACTTGTCTTCTTGATAAATGATATCTAACATCTGACTTTATGTTAAAAGGAAGCAGATTTCTGCATCATATATGGCATGAATTTCCATCAGTGGTTACTGGTCATTTATGCAATGGCTGTCTTGGAGGAAATTGGGCTCCCAGTCACTGGAGACCAAGCCATTGTTGATACTAAATAATGGCATTTCTATAGCTGAGGCTCCTAACATGTGGGAGATTAAATTCTGTAATTCTGTATATCCACACATGAACTTGAAAGCACTGCACTACACAAAATACAGTTTTGAAAATGTCATGGGAATTCCCTGGCAGTCCAGTGGTTAGGACTCTGAGCTTCCACTGCCTGGGACCCAGTTCAAGATCTGGTCAGAGAAACTAAGATCCTACAAGCCACGTTGCATGGCCACAAAGAAAGAAAATGACAGTGAGGGAAAATGTTAACTATCACTTAGAGGTTTCCAAACTTCCTTGGTTCATGATGCTTTTAGTGTCATAGTTGTTTGGGGCTTCCCTGGTGGCTCAGTGGTAAAAAAAAAAATCCACCTGCCAATGCAGGAGACGCAGGTTTGATCCGTGGGTTGGGAAGATCCCCTGGAGAAGGAAATGGCAACCCATGCCAGTATTCTTGCCTGGGAAATCCTATGGACAGAGGAGCCTGGCGGGCTACAGTCCATGGGGTTGCAAGAGAGTCGGACGTGACTGAACAGCAGCAGTTGTTTCACAGCATCCCAGGCCAAAAGTTTATTGTATTAGAGCTTCTGTCATGTTACCTGGAGTTTCTTTTATGAAAAACAGTTTAAGAGTAGCAGTTCTCACCGTGTTGCACAGATGACACTTGTGTTTTCTTTGAAATTGTAAAATATTCTGAGGTGCTGTAAGGCCAGGACACCTCAGCTCACAGTTTAGCAAGGGTGGCCATAAGCAGAAATTTTAAGTTGTATGTCCTGTATATTAAAATCTGTGTGAATGTAAACAAAGACTGGAAGGAAATACAGAGTAAAAGCAGTTATATTGGTTCACTGATGATCATAAAAATACTCTTTTAAATCATGTTTTCCTTCCAGTTTATTTTTTGACTCTTGGTCTCTGAGTGCTGTTAGGACACGTGTTCTTAGTTCCTATAGGAAAGAGCAGCACAAAGTTGGAAAGTTCCTTTTAAACTCTGGGGCAGTGACAAGTTCAGGAAATTTTATCACGAAGGAACCTAGCCTTTTGTGGTTGAAATTGACTGTGTGTTCTCTTCTAGGACCATAGAGTGTTCTGGCTGATCACAGGAATTATGTTTATGGGAAGCGGCCTCATCTGGAGGCGCTTGCTGTCATTCCTCGGACGACAGCTGGAAGCTCCGCTGCCTCCTCTGGTATGAAGGGTCAGACTCGGCACAGTACCGCAGAGGGGCTGCAGTCCTGTGTCCTGCGCTTAGGTTGTCACAGGCTTTGAGACCCTGAACAGGTTTTTTTAATTTCTCTCAGCCTCGCCCAGCTTTCCCACTTAAGTCAGTGCCGCCTGCTTCATGTAGTTAAAAGGAGAATTCGATGTTACACGTGGAAAGCAGTGGCAGAGTAAGTAAGTTAGAAGTTTATTTGGGTGGAATGCTGTGACAGCCATTGTACATTTAGACAGGTGTTAGTAATTCTGGTGCAGGTTTTGTCATAACCAAAATTGAAATGTAGAAAACATTTATCGTGTTAGGAAAAGACAGTTTATCTCTTTTTCATAGCCTTCTACTTATAGTTTATATCCCTGAAGCAAGTACTCAAGACAGTGATACACGGCTGGCAGGCCTTCACTCCTTTAGTGGTTAATGTATCGTTTTTACTGGTGGTTTTTCTTTTAAACCGACACAACTAAAATTATGAATTTTTTCTGCTTTTATTTAGATGGCCTCTTTACCTAAGAAGACACTGCAGGCAGACAGAAGGCTGGAAATGAAACACAGTTTCAGGCCGGATGGACTTGGATCAAGCAGGGGTGTCCTAACAGATCGTTAGGAATAACCCAATGGAAACTGAACTGTTTTTTATGGTAGTCACAGGGAAATTCTAGTATCTTTTTATTATTTTATGGAATCAGAGACTTGAAAGAAAATCACTGACACTTAAATTATAATGTCTGATGATAAAAATATTATGGCAGTCACAGTACTAGAACTTAATTGTATTTTTGAGCTTGCTTTGTAAAAGACCAAAATTCTATTTCCTACAAACTTAAAAGACTGTTTTTATAGATGTAAGACATGGAGAGATTAACTTAGGATTAACAGGATTAGATTGTGGTATTGATTTTATTTAATTTATACATGTTAACAAAACTGCAGCCTTATGCCAAATGAAGCCTGGAAACTTGACAAACCTGTAGTTGTGAGATTAGGTAACCACAGTTCTTACTGTAAGGAATCATGTTCCTTTGAATTTCCTGACTCTCAGGTGAAAAAGCTAGCATAATATATATTAACCATAAACTTTAAATCAGCCTTTGACATAACTGTATTTTCTTGTATTTGCGCGCGCACACACACACACACCCTGCTTTTTTTTTGGCTGCATGCAGGATCTTAGTTCCCTGACCAGGACTTGAACCCATGCCCCCTGCAGTGAAAGTGTGGTATTTCAACCTCTTTAACTGCCAAGGAAGTCCCTGCCCCTATTTTTATATAAGGAATACAAAAAGGAAATGAGACATTAATATCAGCTTTGTATAGCTTCCAGTTATTCAAAATTTTACTTCCTCAACCTATGAAACTATTTTTCTTTGCTTGACTATAGTTAAGCCTTTGGAAATAGCTGAAAGTATTTCCGTTCTGTTACTGTTTTATAGCTGTTTTGCTCATTCCTTGGTTTTTAGGACAGACATGTCACACCAAAAAGGAAAACGTGTAGCAAGATTAACGAGGCTACACATTTTTCATCTGTTTGGCTACACCTGAGAGGCTGGCTGATGGGCTTCCTAAAACAAGGGGGTAGGTAAATTTTAAAATTGTGATACCTTTTTGTTTTCAGAGTTGAGTTTAAAACAAATGGCTAATATTTCTATGTCTCAAGCACTTATGCTACCTGCTATCTTCTACGTTTTCTATATTTTCTGGAGGTTAAAAAGTTACACAATAGAACATTACAGTTTTATTTGTCTCCAAAAGTAACATACATAGACAATTCTAGAGTCCAAAGCAGCTCTTGCACTACAAAATTAGTAAATAGGGTCCATTTACCAGGTGGGTAAAAATGAATTAAAATGCTCTTTCCAGTAGCTGATGTGAAAGAAGACAAATGAAGTTTCCCGTTTCCATGTGTGATTATGAAAGGACATTGGAACAGCATGAAACATGCTGGGCTTGCCTTGGAGCGTGCTTTATGGTGTGGCTGTGGAATGTAAATACCATCATAGATCTGTTCGATTTCCAAGATAAAGTATCTTTGACAATATTTAGATTTCACAGGGCACTCTTCTTTGGTATACCTCAGAGCACTATGCTGTTTTTGATCTTCAGGTTATCACTGTAAAATAGGTAATATTAATAAATATTAACTGTGACGAAAACTTGGAAGTCCAAGAGGCAAAATGTGATTTGGTTTAAGGTCAGGTACGGGATAGAATTTTGGTCTTTTTTTCTTTCTGATGTTACTTAGTTTGAGGGCTTAGCTAAAATAATTTTGAGTTAGTGCCTCATCAGTAAAAGGGTAAATAAATGCAACTACCTCATAAGTCTGATAAAGGGAAGGTACTAATGGTTTATAAAGTTCTTGAACATGGTTCAAACAAGTTAATGTCCAGATGTCAGCTGCCTCTGCTTTGGTGATAGATAGCAGGATGCTTCTTACATTAAAGAGCTAATAAACAGCCTATGAAAAAGAAAAAAGTTCAGCAGTTTTAAATTTTGAATTTAAATAGATGGAGTATATAAATTATTTGTAAATAAGGTGAAAGAATACCAAATATTCATGTATGAGTAAGCAGGCAATCATATCCTCTAACATGTACAGGGAATGATATTCTTAACATGTTGTTATTGTAAGACCTCTAAGAAAGTGTAGCAAAAATAGGTGTCATTTTAAGATACGAGTAATACTTGCTTTACTCTTGATAGACTGATAACCACTAAATAATCATATTAAAAAGCCATATATTTTGGTGAGTTATTCTAAGATTTGTACACAGCTTTATGTTTTGGAAAATTGATATTAAATATTAAACTCACTTTAAATTCAGGATTTATTGTCATTACTTTAGTAATAGTTATGTAGTTGGAGCATGGAATAGGGAATTCAGAGTTCCCAAACTTACTTCAAATCTCTTTAGGTCTGTGATACAAAGGCATAAGTCAGTTCTAGTCTTGAAGCCTTTGCATATACAGGTGATAGACAAAAATTGCAGATATGTAAATGTGTTCTGATATCATAAAATAAAGGTAATTTTGAATTGTTGTATAAGTTCAGATTTGTGTTCCTGAGAGATTTAAACCTTATAAGGTATTTTTATTTTAAGTATGTCAGAATCAGTTCAAAAGCATCAATTTATGTTGATGTGTTGGAGAAGACTCTTGAGTCCCTTGGACTGCAAGGAGATCCATCCAGTCCATCCTAAAGGAAATCAGTCCTGAATATTCATTGGAAGGACTGATGCTGAAGCTGAAACTACAATATTTTGGCCACCTGATGCAAAGAACTGACCACTAGAAAAGACCCTGAGGCTGGGAAAGATTGAAGGCAGGAGGAGAAGGGGACGACAGAGGATGAGATGGTTAGATGGCATCACTGACTCAATGGACATGAGTTTGAGTAAACTCCGGGAGTTGGTGATGGACAGGGAGGCCTAGCATGCTGCAGTCCATGGGGTCACAGTGAGTCGGACACAACTGAGCCACTGAACTGAAGTCAGAACCAGTGCTTAGAATTACAATTAACTTAGTGTAGAATGGAAACTTAATCCACCTGTTGAGATAATACATTAGTCTGTCGGGTATTAGATTTTTTCCTGTATGCAGGTTTTTACATATTTTCCATACATGCAGTAGGATACAATTTATATAATTTCTTAATACAGGTTAGTATGGATAAATATCTAGACCTGCTTCTAACTTACTCAATTTTAACCATCTCCTCCTGCTGGTTGCTATTATGGTTCAGGAAAATATAAATCCTCAGGTAAAGAATAATTATATTTAAACGCTGGCTCGATCATTTAGTAAAGCATAACACTTTGTTCAGCAGCGGCCCGGTGAAGGTGCGCCTCCTCCTAAATGGAGAGACGCAGTCCTGAGAGCACGCCTTTGCTGAAATGCAGCGTCATCAGCTTGTTCTTCCCTCAGATTACGGGAATACGAGCAAGTCATTTCTGGTCCCCTAAAAATAAACTGTAATGAAAACAATTCTTCAGATAGGCTGAGCAGCCAAATAGTTGTTAACTGAAAATCAAATGGTATTTCTGTGTGCTTTGTACTGTGCCATAGGGAACCAGGCAACTAGTGTACCTCTTTCAGAAAGAAGGAACGGGACGGTCCTGGGAGTCAGCCAGAGGTCCTGTCTAGGTATGAGCCTGTTTATGTTGTTCTCCTATATACACACACAGTATATACTCAGAGTTCTAATTCCACTGGTTTTTCCTTTGATTTCAAATTCAACTTTACTCTTCAGCCAAAACCCTATGTCCTTTGACCAGTCTCTTTACTGCCCCAAGAGAAACTAAGAGAAGGGCTTTGGTCATTTTAATTTTTTCCTGGTTTTAGTTTCATTTCATTAGTGTCAGAAGAAAAGAGGTTCTACCCTGATAGAGAATCAACTAGTTACAGTTTACAGATAACAGTGCCCGCTGATTTTTAGAGAAGCTGAAATCCTGTGGTCCATTCCCTTCCCTTAAACATTCTACCCTCCAGGCCTGGCAGATGAGATCTGCTCCACTGAGACCAGCCCAGGAAGTAGGAGGCCAAGCCTGCCTCACTCCTTAGTCCTGCACAGTCACCTTCAGCTCATGACAGCTCGCTCTCCTTCCTGTTCTGGTTCTGTTGGCAAGGCTTGTGGCAGCCTCCCGCTGCCTGGGGCTTCCTGAGATGACTTCAGATTAGCAGAAGATCACTAGGTGCATCGGCTGTTAGAACAGTCATTTCTCCAGAAATATCTGAGGGCACGGTCAGGTGATATTTACTTTTTATATTTGCCCTTCACTATGTGAAACACTGAAAATACAACAGTCCTCATGAGAAAGGACCACATCATTTACAACGTGATTTTGGAGTTGTGAGATTAGGCCTCTCCCCCCGTACTTTTCTCCTCGTTCTCTCATGCTTTTTCTCCTGTGTACTGTGCTTTCTGTTTCACTTTGATTGGAATGGGTCACCAGTTTTAAGAGGACGTTTTTAGCAAGAATTGTGCTACGGAGCTTTTCCTACGATAACTAGCGACAGGCCTTTCCAGGCATCAGAAAGACACAGGTGCTCAAGTGGACGAGGAAGTGGGTTGTGCAGCAGGTCTGAGCACAGGAAGCCAGTTAGGAATTAAGTTCAGGGGCACAGGAAACAAGCTTTGCAAAGGGACGTGAATAAGGAGCGCATCCACTGTTTCACATACTTCGATGTTGTCACCACTTACTGTGTCCTGTTGGCAGCCAGTCTGTGTGTGTGTGTCTCGAGCCCCACCTGTCGTAAGGTCTACCAAGGCTCCCCTGGATACGCCACTTTGTCCCCCAGAACGCTCACCCAGAAGATGACTCGGCACGAGGGAGGGGGACAGGTGAGGAAAATGGAGTGAAACCTTTAATCTTGGCCGAGGCTATAGATATGAAGCACCCCAGAGAGTCGGGCTCCCAGAGAACTCCTTCCAGCAGCAATGACAAGTTGATTCTGTAGGAGACACAAAACAGGCTTCATTCACAACCTGTGTCGCATTCCTGCTGTAGTCCAGGCGTCACGTTACTCTCTGAGCTAGAAAGATAAAGTTAGACATTGGCCAGACCCAAGGGCTTGAGCTTGAATGCCTCTTTCCCTTGGTTTAAATACCCCCCTTCTCAGCTCTGTAGGTTCAGAAAACCACAGCTGAGGAAGTTCTCACTAGTTCCTCCTCAGGTACACAAGGGAAAAGTGCATCTGTGCGTGTTTATTCAGCATCCTAGCTGTGGTGCAGTGTAGACGGCATATCTGGAGTAATCTGGCTTCATCAATGTGTTCACACCACCTTCTCTGCCCCTGCTGCTTTCAAAATTGTCTTCAAAGCTTATACAAGTTTTTTAACATTTTTTGAAGTGGATTTTAGTTTTGAAACTACCAAGTGTTCTGGACCATGACGATAGGTGAGGTGTGGCTGATCAGACTGACTGATGAGTGGAGCAGGCTGTGACCATACAGGGACCAAACCTGTGAAGTTTTTCATTGACTTAATTTTGAAACCTCCCAATGGAATTCAGATGTGTCAGGTACTATGCATGACCCTTTGCGTGTATCTTTTTAAATACCCCCATTGTCAATTAAGAGGGAAAAAAAGCTGTAAACTCTTACTTGTGGAATTGCTCATTTACTGGATATGTCTGTAGCTTGGCCACAAGCTAAGTCTCCTCTCCAGTGCCTGGCTAAACCACCTCCATTCCTAAAATCAGGTCTTCCCCTGCTCTTGCCCTTTCTGCGCAGTCAGCGTACTCTGATTTCCAGACCCACTCAAGCCCCAGGGGCTCTGCCAGGCCTTCCCTGACTCCCCCAGCCAATTCCCATTGATCTCTGACTGCCTTGGATTTGGGTCATCATAAATGGGCCTTGATGGTCTTGTGGGCATGTTTCATTTTTCCACTTAGAGTCTAAGCACCTGGGGGGCAGGGTCTATGTCTCAGGTTTCTTTGTCTACAGCACTGTTCCATCAGGGCTCACAGGCTGGCTGGAGGCCACAGGAGGTTTCAGAAACACAGTGGCAATACCACAGAGGTAAGTGGTCCTCCTAATTCTAGTTGGTTACTTAATGCTCACACAGAGAAAGGAAGAGAGGAGTCTTCAAAACCATAACGTTTACTCATGTCTCCTTAAGAGGCCACCCACTCTCATCATCCTCAGATTGTGTCCATTTTTAAAACATAGCCGTCGATTTATCTTCACACACAAAAGAGTTCTTCAGGGCCCCCAGCCTCAGGTATGTGTTGGGAAAGTGGAATAATTTTAATATTGACTCATGAACTGTAATTAGGAAGATGAATTTGCAGTGTTCAACAGAAAGGAATCAAATTACTTTTAGATGATCTACACTACCCACCCCCTTCAGTTGGTTCATGATTTGTATATGGTTCATGGGTTTTTAGTAACGTCTTAATAACGTTCTTAGTAACATCTGATTCCTGGAAAGTGAATAACATTTAAAATGCAAACCAGATTTATGATATTCTTATGATCATATCTTTTGAGAAGCCCCCCATAGTTTATAATCTGTCTCTTTTTTGGTTGTGGTTAAGCTTGCCCATAAATGAGTTAGAGGGCTATTTGAACTGTTGACCAGCAGAGGGCAGTTTCACCACAGCGCTTACAAGTCCAAGCCAGGGCCCAGGCACCTGCCAAGCCCTGCAGACTTGGTTCTATACTCAAAAACCTACGGTGGCTTCTCTAGCCTTTCACACCACAGTTCACACTTCCAGTTGGCATTTATTACTATGCTTATTTGCCTTTAAACTTCCCACGTGTTAAATAAAATAAATCTTACTTTTCCTCAAGAGCAGACACTTGGTCTCTTCCTCTCTCATAGCCTAGCACAGATCTGTACAATGTCATATCGTTAAATAAATGAGTGAAATCAGTGGTCTAGCTGTATGTTTTAAGATAAAATCCTTTAAATCTGTCATGGCTATTAAAATTCAAAATGTGCATACCCTTTGACCTAGTAGTCTTCCAGGAATCTAGCCAGCAGAGATACTTGCATAGTTATTCTAAAGTCATGCAAAAAGATACAATTATATAACAAATATATTGTTAGTATGGATTTGGTTCATTCCTAAAGAACCAAAATATGTTAACAATGCTTAGCCAATATGGCAAGGGTTGACAGACTTTTACAGTAAAGTATCAGGGTAATATTTTAGGCTTTGTGGGACATCAGTCAGCTGCAATCATGGTAGAGTATCAGAGGTAACTGCAGTCCATGGGGTCGCAAAGAGTCGGACACGACTGAGCAACTGAACAAGCAGCAGAGGAAGAGAAAAGAATGAATGTGGCCATCTATATTCCAGTAAAGCTTGTTAGAGACACTGCAGTTTGAATTCTTGTAAATATCTTGTGTCACAAAATATTCTCATTTTTTCCAGTCATTTAAACATGTCAATCATTTTTAGTTTGTGGATTACACAAAAACAGGCAGCCAGCTAGAGTTGGCCAACAGGCTGTAATTTGCCAACCCCTGTTGTAGAGGATGAAATTGCAGGGGTAGTGAGGAGAACCTTTCACCAAAAAATGATGGGATTATGTGTTGTTTTTTTTTGAGTCCCTGTTTTTCAAATAAAATCTAAAATACATGCAAAATGAGATCACTCGCAAATCCCAGCCTTAGAACAAACGGAAATAGCAAAGCCGTACAGTCTTGGCACTTACCTTTTTCTTTGACCTCACAGTGATCACAGAGCTCCCAAACCTTGAGCCTGCCTGTGAAATACACTGTCTGTTAATGGCCTTTGAAAACATACCATATGATTTTTATCAACTTAAAATACGGGAAAGGGCTTTTGTTTTTTTTTTTAAGAAGATACTTACTTCAGGAGAAATTAGTACATATTGGGCCTGAAAGAGAGTGATAAGAAAGGGAGACTGTTAATGTTATTGCTGTTCACGGATTTTTTTCTTTAACCAATTTTAATTATACTCACTCAAATTTCTACATTTTAGAGAAGCCCTTTGTCACCAGAAATTCTGCTTACAGGAATGTAGCTCAGAAAAACAGATGTATAAAAATGTTTATGTGAATATTTATCTTACTATAACAGCAAAAATTTGAAATAGTGACTAACAGACTTAAATGGTTTGTCTACAGATAAACAACTAAGTATCTGGTAGATATATTGTATAAGAATATAGAAAGCATAGAAGACTTATTACATTGATAGGTTAAACAAGATAAAGTTGTGTACAAAATGTACACTAGGATCACAACCATTAATATATACACACAGACATGGTGTAAAGGTTTAAGGGTGTGCTTCAGAATCAGCTCTGGGTTCAAGTCCCTGTTCTACCATTTCCTAGCAGTGTGACCTGTAACAACTTCCTTCTCTGATCTTCAGTTTCTTTATAATGAACAGAATACCAAACTAATAGCTTTGATGTGAATTAGATTTTATATGTATATAAAAAGTGCTAGGCACAAAGTGTGTGCATGCTCAGTCGCTTCAGTCCTGTCCAGTTCTTTGCAGCTCTATGGACTGTAGCCTGCCAGTCCATGGGATTCTCCAGGCAAGAATACTGGGCTGCAGGTTGGGTGCATGAGACAAGTGCTCGGGCCTGGTGCACTGGGAAGACCCAGAGGGATCGGGTGGAGAGGGAGGTGAGAGGGGGGACCGCGATGGGGAATACATGTAAATCCATGGCTAATTCATTTCAATGTATGACAAAAACCACTGCAATGATGTAAAGTAATTAGCCTCCAACTAATAAAAATAAATGGAAAAAAAAAAAGGATACTGGGCTGGATTGCCATGCCCTCCTCCATGGGAATCTTTCTGACTCAGGGATCAAACCCACGTCTCCTGCATGGGCAGGCAAATTCGTTACCACTAGCACCACCTAGGAATCCCAGGCACACACAGAGTAAATGCACAATAAATGGTAGTAATTAAGTTCATAGAAAAAAATACTAGCAGGATACACAAGAAAAGGTTACTGGACATCTCTGCAGACTGAAATTCTTTGTACTGCATTTTCTAATAGTTTTACAATAAACTCTTTTCTAATTTGAAATTTTAAGTTTAAAATAACAGCCAAGTGTTTTAGATCCAGGAAACTTAAGCAATGAAAGATGAAATAAAAAGGGCTGGAGTCTTCAAGAAACTCCCAGCAGCCATGGTCTGTTTTCTGCTGTGCGCTCCGAACCAAGAGCCAGTATGACAGCACATCCAGCTGAACTTCCGCTATGGGGGCAAACACTAGAACTGCAGGAAGGCAGGCAGCTTTCAAGCAAGTGATTGTGCTCTGACCTCAGGTGTGGGTCAGGTTACCTGAGTCCAAGTAGCAACTAAGAGTTCTAGAGTGGACATAATTTACCAAGGCATCAGCAAGTACCGTCCTTTCCCAGTTTGGTGTGGAGTTGTGTTCAGTGCTTACCTTTTCTTCTGGACATGGAGTCACCCATGATTTGCATTTGCCTGTCATGTCACCCACGGTGATCTGTTTGCCATTATACACATAAACACGGCCATCCTCTCCCCCCATCAGTCCCGCAGTTGCATCTGTGATCCTCAGTGGGGCTGCTATGATGATTTCATCTGTGAACCATGAAAACCAGAAGAAGGAAGTGTCTTACTCCTTGCTGTCATCCTTTCCATTGTTCCACTGCTGGATCCTCACCCAGCCTCCCACCAATAGTAATGCATCCTTCACTGGTCTACCCTGATTTCTTTCCAATGCAGTCAGAGGCTTTTGTTTTCTGTTTCATCATTCATTGATGTGGGTGGCTCTCATTTCACCATGTTCAAGAAGTACAACTCACTCTTGTACATCCGGCTCTGGTCTTGATTTGTTATGAGGCTAGACCAGGGGTGAGCCTATCAGGGGGGCCCATCTTCTTGGCCAGAGCCACCGTTCCTTTCCTACCTAAGCCATCATCATCCAAGTCACTCAAGTGCAGAACGCCACCAAATCGGGAGAAGCGGCGGTTTCCACTGAAGGTGCTGAGCAGAGAAGGCTGCGAGTCAGGGGTCAGTTCATACATCCGAGTGCTCCCACCTTGGTGCAGGGTCATGGTCAGGAATGATACCTTAGACACGACATCTGAAATAAACCACAGAACAGTAGCTGCCACCATCACAAGAACGAAGCGCGGACAGACTTGCAGTGACACAGGCGAAACTGTCAGATTTGTGAATGCCAAAATTTATATATGATCATTGTAAAAGGTGTGGAAAACACCCAAAAAAAGTATAAAGAAGAAAATGTATGTAATGCATATATTTGTTTCTGGACAATGATATATACTTACATATACATACATACACATTTTAATGGGGTTTTTTGCAGATTACAAAATTCCTTTTACTAAGTTTTGGTTTTATATTTAATACTATGATAAATGATATTTATGAATTACTATGATCCTTCTCCCACAGTATTTTCTGAGAACAGATTTTTAGAAGGGACCCGTCTATCATTGGATTGGGGGGATGAATATTGTTTTTAAGGCTCTTGTCATTTTGCCAAACCTCTTACTAGAGAAAGTACATCAGTTTACATTTCACCAGCAGTGTGTGAGTTCCCAGTCTCACCTCAATCTTGCCATCAAGTATTCTTTTTCATGCCACAGATACTTTGTAGCTTTTAATGAGTACCATAAAATCCCCACTGAATATTTAAACGGTCGTGTGTTGTGGCCACAGTTGGACCCAGAGATCCTGCTGAGCCAGAGGCTGGGGGGACAGGCCTAAATCTAATTATTAGTTTACTCGAACTCGCCCTGCAAGTAGGTCAGATATTTCACGTTTCACTCAATCCGTCCATAGAGCTGTGATTCCCGAACTCAACACTGAAACACTTCGATGAACTCATGGGGAGTTGTCTTTAATTTTTGCCGGTAAGACAGTGACATCTGTCTGACGCCACATGACCCACCTGCTGGGGGAGGTCACAGTTTCAACACTAGATCCCCACAGTTCTTCCAGTGATGTCATATCTTTGCAAAACTGGAATTTTATCATAATAGGGGGTGGTTATGATACAATGCAGGCACCACTGGAAAAGCAGTATAGGTCAAAATGAGGATGATCCAGTTCCAGGGTTTGGGAAGTGACACAGCTATTCATGAAGAAGTGAAGTTTCATGGCAGGTGACCTACCTTGCGTCGGGGCCCCCACCAGCAGCACTTGGGTCCGGGTCCCGTTCACCATCACGTGGCCACTAGACAGGGAGGTACCCAGTTTCCCCATCGCCTGTCAAATGCAGTAAGTCACTACAGTACAGCTGAGAAACTCTCCCTGTGATGTCTGCTTCCCTGGGGAGGGAGGGGGCCGCCATACCTTGTCTCCGGAAATGCTAAGCCAGCTTTGACAGTTCGGCGGGAAATAGCCATGCACCCGTCCAGGGCTCTGTTTCTCTTCACGAGTGCGGAACAAGTGGCCCTGACTGGAAGCAAGCACGCTGGGCTGAGGTGCTGGGACCCAGGACGCAGCGCTGGGCGGGTGCTCAGGTCCAAGGAAAGATGACCCACATCTTCCCCACTCACAGCGCCCCCTGCACCCCAGGCTACTGGTCCCTGTCATCAGTGGGGGGGGGGGGGTGTTCAGAATGAACCCCCATATCAAGACTCCAGGTTAAGAGGTTCACATTCTACTTCCCAACTGACAAAACGGGGATACCTCCTGTTATGGGCTGGATTGTTCCCCAAAATTCATGTTCAAATCCTAACTGCCAGTACCTCAGAATGTGATAGCATTTGGAGACAGGGTCTTTAAAGAGGTAATTATGCTAAAATGAGGTCATCGTGGTGGGGCCCCAATCCAGTATGACGTGTCCTCATAAGAAGAGGGACAGACACCAGGGGTCGATGCACAGAGAGGAGGCTGCATGGGAGGCACGGAGAAGGTGGTTTAAGTGACAGAGAGGCGCCCTGGGAGATAGCAACCCTGCTGACACCTTGATCTCAGATCTCTCACCTCCAAAACGGAGATCATCGATTCCTGCTGCTTAAGCCACCCAGACAATGCAGGCAAACTAACACAGCTCTCTCTCAAACTTCTAAAAAGGAACATTTGCCACTTGACCCAGAGTCTTCGCTTTTCCTTGAAGGGTAGGAATTTCAGAGCCACTTCCTGTGAACCCCACATTCAGTGGGCTCCCCAGGCTTCAGGCACCCACCCCTTGGGTCACTGGTCCCTGCACCCCACATCAGGGCTCACCTACTGGTGTTCTTCCAGGTCGGGCTTCCAGCCAGGAGCAAAGTCCTATTGTTGACACCGACACCGTGAAGGGAGTACCCCAGCCAAGCAAAGTCCTCCTCTCCCCTCACCAGCCAGTTGGCAGCCTCCACGTTCAGCTTCTCTGCACAAGACAAGCAGTGCCTTCTGCTTTACGTGGAAAGACTACAGGAATGGGAAGAGTGGCCCTTTGTGTAGGATAATGAGAAACGGGTTCATTGGGCTGTTTTTGCCACAACTCTTATGTGCCCCCACACCTGTCCCCAGGGCCCCAGCATCAGAAATGGGGCTCATGCATCATAAAAAAAATACATTTCTAGAGCTAGCCTCTGTGGAGTGGAGGATGCTGTCTAAAAAGAGGAACTGTTGGGAATTTTCTTGGCAGTCCAGTGGTTAGGATGCTGTGTTCTCACTGCCAGGTTCAATCCCTAGCTGAGGAACTAAGATTCCACAAACTGCGTGCATCCCCTGCCCCCAAAAAGGCCTGTTGGACAGCTGGAGCATCAGTGCGATGCCTGAGTGTTTTCACTCTTCCATTGAGACACTCTGAGGGTAACTATTGCCCACTCCCCACCCTCCGCTTTGGATCTGGGTCTACACACTGGATCCTTCTGTATATTCAGTAAACCTGCCCACAACACTTGCTAGAACATCTGAAAGAGGAAGAATGATAGAGAATTCAGGTGAAACCACACACAACAAGGGAAACAGGACCGAAACCCCCATGCAAGAGAAGGCATCACAGACTACAGCAGTGGGGGTCTCTGCCCACCCCACCCCCGGCAAGCACTACCTCTGTCACTGTAACTGGAGCCAGAGTAAAATGCAGCCACAATTCCCTTCTGTTTCCCTCCACCTGGAGCAAAAGGGGAGCCAATCACCAGGTCCGGTTCACTGTCTCCGTTCATATCCGCTGCCAGGAGGGTCCAGCCCAAGTTACAGTAGGTATCCTGAAAAGAAAACGGGAACCCAACCACCTTTAACTCAGCCTTGGGGCAATTAGGATGCGGTGAATTCTCGTTTTCTGTACCTGATGAAGGTGGTCAACGTACCTGGCAAGAGATGGTGATGTTGGGGGAAGCAGACAGTTGCCCTTGTTTGGAACCAAAGTAGATGTACACTGCACCCTAGATAAGGACAAACCACAGGGCAATTGTGAGACTCTGTGGTGACCCAAGAACCTTAACAGCAAGACAAAGATGACTGATGATGAAACAAATCACCATCGGAGCCCTGTAGAGTCAGGAGCTCAGTTACTGACTGAAGTCAGTGTCCAGTCCTGTGCATCAGCCTCTTCCATCAGATCATTAAGAGCCCCCAAAGCAGAAACTGTCATTTCATCTTGGTCTCCCCCACATCTTGCTCTGGGTCTGCCATCCATAATTGTTCAACACGTTTGCAGAATGAACTACTCAACCGCCCACAACCCCTTCAAAGCCCAGCTCAGCTTCCGGCTCTTCCACGAAGCCCCACCGCCACCCCGACCCAGCCCATGACTTCTCAACACCAGTACATCTCCTCAGTACCGCTCGCTTGCCTTTGGACACAGGCTGTGCTGTTACTGTGTCACGAAACAGTTCCCATCTTACAACTTGCCTCTCTGCATCTCTCCTCCTTCTAGAATCATTTCCTTTCCCCGGTGAGCTGAGGACTGAGAACACAGTGACGGATAAGACCAACCTCAACCCTCCCAAAAGCTGGCCAAGGGGCAACTGTGACACCGCAGTGTGAGGAGCTGCAAACGGGCAGTGAGCACAGGACAACAGTGTCCCCTGAACCAGGGTTTAGATCACACTTCCTCCAAGAAGTGATGTGTTATCCCCTACAGGGGGGCAAAAAAATGGAAAAGGGTTTTTCCGGGTAGAAAGAACTGGATGAGCATGGGTCCTAACATGAAAGTGCCCGATGGTCTGCATGAAAAATTGTTCCCACGACTCACGAGTGAGGAGGGAGGGAAAGAGGTGAACCCGGTGGGACAGGGTGATGAAGGGCCTTTGACTCTGCAGTCACTCACGATGCTCGGCTATGGTGTGGACTGGGAGGAGGAGAGCCCTGTGGGCCAGGACCCAAGATCTCTGCTCTCGGGGAGGAAGAGGGGGAAGGTGCTGGGTTCTGTGCCCACGAGGAAGGATCCAGGGACTCACATCCCTGCCCCATGACAGGAAGCTGTGGATTAGCTGGAATTTCTGCCCCTCCTGACTATCTCTTAGCATCCCTCGGGGAGGGAAGGAGGGAAGGGGAATTCAGGACCTGGCGGAATTGGGAAATCCCACCCGAGAAGCCAAACAGGCCAGGGAGGCAGGAACAGGATCTGCCAGGTAGCCTGAGGTCACAAGGACCTAAATGGAGGGCTGGGATCATCTCCCCACAAACACTGCCTGGCACCCCTTCCACCTGCTTCTCTCTAGAGGTTCCATGGGCTCCAGCCTCCGCTCCCACTATCCCCTCTCCCCACCAGCCTCCTTACTGTGTATGTGAGCTTCTCGGAGCCCACCGAGGGGGCTCCCACCGCCAGGTCAGGCATGCCGTCTACGTTGAAGTCCAGCACGGCCACAGCCGAGCCAAACCGACCTGAGGGCTGAAGACACACCAGTTACTCCCCCTGGGCTGAGCCACAACCCTCCGAAAAGCACACCTGACTCGTGGAGGACCCCATCGAGCACCCAGGACTGAGGAACAAGACTGCAGCCCACTCGTAACACATCCATGACCCTCCAGATGGCTAGCTCACCCTAAGGATGTTTCTGGCATGTCTGTCTGCCTCAAGGGGGAAGATAAGGTACTGGAGAGAAGAATGCAGGTCCAAAAGAGACACAGATGTAAAGAACAGACTGTTGGACTCTGTGGGAGAAGGCGAGGGTGGCATGATTTGAGAGAATAGCATTGAAATATGTATATTAACATGTGAAATAGATCGCCAGTCCAGGTTCAATGCATCAGACAGGGTGCTCAGGGCTGGTGCACTGGGATGACCGTGAGGGATGATGGGGAACACATGTACACCCATGGCTGATTCATGTGAATGTATAGCAAAACCACCACAATATTGTAAAGTAATTAGCCTCCAATTAAAATTTAAAAAAAAAAAGAATATAGGTCCTTAAAAGTTCTAGGTTTTCAGAAAACGGTCTTGTGTATCCTTGTTAAGGACTAGACTCTTATTGGAAAGTACCCAAGCTAATAATCACTTAACAGAAGCTAATGTCTGTCAAATACTCAAGATGTTCTAGAGCTGTACTGACCAGTGCAGTAGTCACTAGATAAATGTGACATTGAAATTACTTAAGTCAATTTTTCAGTTTCACTGGCCACATTCAAATGTTCAGAAGCCAAAACACTTAGTAGCTCCCATACTGAACAGCACAGCTTTAAAGCATATCCATCATTACCAAAGGGTCTACTGATTCTGCTGTAGACACTTTTCAAGCATTTTATGTGGATTAGTAGCCCCTAATTTTATGGTTTACAGATGGAAAACTCAGCCCATCCAGGGACCCATTTTCTTCCAAGGTGGGTTTTCTAGATCTTCCATCTCCTGCTGTCTGGAATCAGCCTAGACCTAAAGGAAACTCATGAGGTTCTCCTTATCCTTTCACAACTTATCTAACAATGAAGAGTCTTGCACAAATGATGCTTGCTACATCACACACACACCCCAGAACCCACATCTCTTGTTTGTTGGTTAATCTCTCTATACCTATGTGCAATGGCATCTGAGAACACAGTCCCTTTCTACCAGGTGGGGGGAGGTGGGGTGGGTACTTGATAAACGAGAAAGGATTGCCTGGAGATACAAGCAAGCTGGGGCAGGCTGGGGACCCATAAGTAGGGGCCCCTGCCAACTGAAAACAGGTTAATTTCCTCAACACCAGCTCTACTAGCAAGCCCTCCTGCAGGGTAACTCATTCCAAGAAAAAGCATAGCATTCTAAAATAGGCAGATACTTAATGGAATTCCAGCTGAGCTATTTCAAGTCCTAAAAGATGATGCTATTAAAGTGCTGCACTCAATATGCCAGCAAATTTGGAAAACTCAGCAGTGGCCCCAGGACTGGAAAAGGTCAGTTTTCATTCCAATGCCAAAGAATGTTCAAACTACTACACAATTGCACTCATCTCACACACTAGCAAAGTAATGCTCCAATTCTCCAAATGAGGCTTCAATAGTACCTGAACCGTAAATTTCCAGATGTTCAAGCTGGGTTTAGCAAAGGCAGAGGAACCAGAGATCAAATTGCCAATATCCACTGCATCATAGAAAAAGCAAGACAGTTCCAGAAAAACATTTACTTCTGCTTTATTGACTATGCCAAAGCCTTTAACTGTGTGGATCACAAAAAACTGTGGAAAATTCTTAAAAAGATGGGAATACCAGACCACCTCACCTGAGAAATCTGTATGCAGGTCAAAAAGCAACAGTTAGAATTGGACATGGAACAATGGACTGGTTCCAAATTGGGAAAGGAGTACGTCAAGGCTGTATATTGTCACCCTGATTATTTAACTTATATGCAGAGTACATCATGTGAAATGCTGGGCTGGATGAAGCACAAGTTGGAATCAAGATTGCCAGGAGACATATCAATAACTTCAGATATGCAGATGACACCACCCTTATGGCAGAAAGCAAAGAAGAACTAAAGAGCCTCTTGATGAAAGTAAAACAGGAGACTGAAAAAGTTGGCTTAGAACTCAACATTCAAAAAACAAAGATCATGGCATCTGGTCCCATCACTTCCTGGCAAATAGATGGAGGAAAAAAATGGAAACAATGACAGACTTTATTTTCTTGGGCTCCAAAACTATTGCAGATGGTGACTGCAGCCATGAAATTAAAAGACTCTTGCTCCTTGGAAGAAAGCTATGACCAACCTAGACAGTTTATTAAAAAGCAGAGACATTACTTTGCTGACAAAGTTCTGTTTAGTCAAAGCTATGGTTTTTCCAGTAGTCATGTATGGATGTGAGAGTTGGACCATAAAGAAAGCTGAGCACCAAAGAACTGATGCTTTTGAACTGTGGTGTTGGAGAAGACACTTGAGAGTCCCTGGGACTGCAAGGAGATCAAACCAGTCAATCCTAAAGGAAATCAACCCTGAATATTCATTGGAACGACTGATGCTGAAATTAAAACTGCAATAGTTTGGCCACCTGATGCAAAGAACAGACTAACTGGGGAAGGCCCTGATGCTGAGAAAGATTGAAGGCAGGAGGAGAAGGGGACAATAGAGGATGAGACTGGTTGGATGGCATAACCAACTCAATGGACAGGAGTTGGAGCAAGCTCCAGGAGTTGGTGATGGACAGGGAGGCCTGGTGTGCTGTAGTCCACTGGGTCGCAAAGAATCGGATATGACTGAGCAACTGAACTGACTCTGAGATATCTATTCTAATCTTCCATCTTATAGATAAGGACCAGAAAGGTTAACTGCAGACCAAGAATGATGGCTACAAGATTCCCATCTCTAGTGCACACCATAGTGCGGCATCTTCCCCATTACTTAAGGACACTGGGAGACAAAGGCATGGAGTTACCTCCTTCCTCACCCCAAGGATCTTGGATGGAGTTTCCCATTCACAGGAAGCAGCTGCCTCTCTTACTCCTTGTCCAAAGGAGCCCAAAGGATTATACTTTACACCACCGTCTGACAGGGGAATGGCTTGGTGAAGAAGAGAGAAGTAACAGGAATGGGTTAATTTATTCTGGAACTTTCTCATTTGGTGTCAGAAGGGCCCAGAAAATACTGTCCCTGTCCCTCTGGGACTGTGTGATCACGTACTCTGCCATCAACTTAGTTAACACCTCTTGGACTAAGGGGCTCCTTCCATCAGAGCTTGAAAGTGAAGTTGCTCAGTCCTGTCCAACTCTTTGCAACCCCGTGGACTGTAGCCTGCCAGGCTCTTCCATCCATGGGCTTTTCCAGGCACGAATACCGGTGTGGGTTGCTGTTTCTTTCTTCAGGGGAATCTTCTCAACTCAGGGATTGAACCTGGGTCTCCTACACTGCAGGCAGACTCTTTACCATCTGAGCCACCAGGGAAGACCTATCAGAGCTTAAACTAGATTATAAACCACTGGCCTTTTCATTAAAGTGTGTTCAGCAGCACCATCCTATTTTTTCACAGCATTAACTCCACAATGAAAGGTTTAATGGGGTGTCTGGGACAAGTAAAAGTCTGGCCCCCCAACTCCCCTAGGGCTTGATACTTGGAGTTTGTGGTGCCACCAAAGCCCCCACACTCATCCGTGGTGAGTAACAGAGCTCAATCAACCCCTTCTTACTTATGTCTCACGTAAGGATGAACACCAATGACGTCCAGGAGGAAAACCCTCCAGGTCTCTAGTGCTCCCGAGAGGAACTCTAGTGCTGCCTTCACATGGAACATCTGTACAGTCACTGTGGGATTTTTCTGGTAATAAATAACCACTTAAAGAAATAAAATCCGACCAAAGTCTGGAGTTTAGTTAATAGTAATTTACCAGTGTTGGTCTCTTAATTTTGACAAGAATGTCATAATTATGTAAGATGTTAACACAGGGGAAAGTGGGTCAAGGTACATGGAAACTCTCTGAACTGTCTTTACAACTTTTCTGTGCATCTAATGGTCTTCCAAGAGGACTTCCCTGGTGGGCCAGTGGTTAAGAATCCACCTGCCAATACAGGAGACCCGGGTTTGATTTCTGCTCCGAGAAGATTCCACATGCTGTGAAGTGGCTAAGACTGAGTGCTACAACTACTGAAGCTCGCACCCCCTAGAGCCCATGCTCTCCAACAAGAGATGCACGCATGTGTCTGACTCTTTGCAACTGCATAGACTGTAGTCCATCAGACTTGTCTATGGCATTTTCCAGGCAAGAATACTGGAGTAGGTTGCCATTTTCTCCTTCAGGGGATCTTCCCAACCCAGGGATCGAACCCACGTCTCCTGCAGTAGCAGGCAGATTCTTTACCACTGAGTTACCTGGGAAGCCCCACAATGAGAAGTCCACACACCTCAATTAGAGAGTAGACTCCGCTCACTGCAATTAGAGAAAGCCCACCCACAGCAATGAAGCTCCAGCACAGCCAAAAATAAGCATCGAAACATGTATATTATCAAGGGTGAAACAGATCACCAGCCCAAGCTGGATGCATGAGACAAGTGCTCGGGCCTGGTGCGCTGGGAAGACCCAGAGGAAATGGGTGGAGAGGGAGGTGGGAGGGGGGAGGGGGGATCGGGATGGGGAATACATGTAAATCCATGGCTGATTCATGTCAATGTATGACAAAACCCACTACAATACTATAAAGTAATTAGCCTCCAACTAATAAAAATAAATGAAAAAAAAATTTTTTTAATAAAATTCTTACAAGATAAAAAAAAATTTATATTTTAAAAAACACCCCAACAAAACAAAACAAAAAGGTCTTGTATTATCATATTATCAAGACATCACATCCTGATTGGTTATTCAAAGGCACTCGATAGTATGGGTGTTCCGGAAGGTGTCAGACAAACCACTAAAACATAGAGACACAATGAGATCAATGAAGTGAACACGCTTTTCAAAATAAAAGTCACTACACAAATGCAGGCCCCTGGCTGGCTGTTGCTATCATCGTTCTTGCGATTGGACACTTATCCTGGAGAGTGTGCCGGGAAAGGCAGGCAGTGGCTTATCAACTTCGAAAGGGAAAGCGTGAGATGCGGCCTCACCTGGAAACCCTCCAGGATGCCGTGGGCCTCCGTGTCCAGGTCCAAGTCGACGGGGGGCAGGCCCAGGTCATTGCCATAGATGAGGTACACACGGCCCACGTGAGTGTGGCCTGGGTGGCTGTAGCCAGGGGCGCCCACCACCAGGTCACCGTATCCATCCTGGTTGAGATCGGCCGAAATCATCGCCCTGTAAGAAGAGGAGGGAACCCACTGCAGTGTCTGCTGAGAGCTCTGGGCAGAACTCTCCTGTTCCTTTCTAGATTCTAGAATGTAACTTCCTCTCATTGGTTTTTCCATCCGAAAATATTCAGAGGTTATATTCACCTCTGAGGTTATACTGTTTGTGGGATTCAGTCTTGTTCTCCAGGGGAAAAGAAACAAAGATGAAATTGGAAAAATCAAGGCCTCTGAGCACTTCTGGACCATAGCACCTGAACACACAAAAAGCGCCCTCACAAAGCTTCTTGTTCTACATGCAAAACCCGGAGCAGACAAAGCACAATTCCGGCTCCACCTGAGAACAGAGGAAATTCCCCTTGAGCCAACGGCACCGATCACTTCACAATTGGCTCAATTCATCTCAGATTGTCACCTGATCAAAGACCAACTTGTGGTAAGTAGACCATTTTATTGCTACCATAGCTACATGCTGCTGCTGCTAAGTCGCTTCAGTCGTGTCCGACTCTGTGAGACCCCATAGACGGCAGCCCACCAGGCTCCCCCACTCCTGGGATTCTTCAGGCAAGAACACTGGAGTGGGTTGCCATTTCCTTCTCCATAGAGGACCCTATATTGGAAAAAATTAAAGAGACTTAGTGGATATTTCTAAATAAGAGTCTATGACCTGCCGGTTATAGAGATGGACAAACTGAGTCAATGGTTTAAATGTCTCGGTTGGGGCTGGAATGACCAAGTCATTTATTTATTTGGGCTCTGATGGCCACATAAAGAATAACCAGCAGGGACTGCTCTGGTGGTTCAGTGTTTAGGAATCCACCTGCCAACGCAGCGGACGAGTTTGATCCCTGGCCCCAGAAGATTCCATATGCCTCAGGGCAGCTAAGCCAGTGCGCCACAACTACTAAGCCTGCGTGCTGCAACTACGAAAGCTCCTGTGCCTAGAGCCCCAGCTCTGCAACAAGATAAGCCACCGTAACGAGAAGCCCACAGACCACAACAGAGAGCAGCCCCCGCTGGCCGCAACTAGAGAAAGTCTATGAAGACCTAGTGCAGCCAAAAATAACTTTTTTTAAATAAAGAAGAAGAAACAGCAGAACAGAGGAAAAAGAGAAGAGCAGTTTCTAACGGGTGTGACGCCTGGTGGATGGGGTCAGACACACACCATGGAGACACTGCTGGTCTGTATTCCCAAGGTCGGACCCTGGCCAGTAATGGCCCCCGAGAAGGAGCTCTGTGCTGCACCCCTCTTCATGTGGCAAGGAGCCCAGCAGAAGGCCCTCATTTGGATTTTCAGGAAGGCGGCCAAGAAGAGCCATTCATTATTCACAAATTCACAAATGAATGGCCAGTAAAGACAGCACTCACCCCCCATTCCTTGTGCTGGTGCTGAATACATTAGCAGCCTGAAGAGGAAGGGCTGCTGGTTTATTGTTCCAAGGAAATTGCCATGTTATTTATATTTTAAAAGTGTGATTTTTTAAAAGACATTTTATAAAAACCTCCAAAAAAATAGTCACTTTTACATCCTTGGGCTGTTTGGCTATGAAACAGTGTCCCCTAAAACAAAGCTCCCTTATCAAGTTTATCATTAATCTCTCTATTCAAACGTTTATTCCCTTTCTTGTGCCCTCTGACCTCAATCCTGTGCTGCTGCTGCTGCTAAGTCGCTTCAGTCGTGTCCGACTCTGTGTGACCCCACAGACGGCAGCCCACCAGGCTCCCCCGTCCCTGGGATTCTCCAGGCAAGAACACTGGAGTGGGTTGCCGTTTCCTTCTGCAATGCATGAAAGTGAAAAGCGAAAGTGAAGTCGCTCAGTCGTGTCCGACTCCTAGCGACCCCATGGACTGCAGACCACCAGGCTCCTCCATCCATGGAATTTTCCAGGCAAGAGCACTGGAGTGGGTTGCCATTTCCTTCTCCAGTGCATGAAAGTGAAAAGTGAAAGTGAAGTCGCTCAGTCGTGTCCGACTCTTCGCGACCCCATGGACTGCAGCCTACCAGGCTCCTCCATCCATGGGATTTTCCAGGCAAGAGTACTGGAGTGGGTTGCCATTGCCTTCTCCAAATCCTGTGCTAACTGAACACTAATCAACCAGAGTAAGATGACTAAAACCACTAATGTCCATAACACTGTTAATGTACTGTAATTGATGTTGTATATGTCATCATTAATGTACAAACACAGCTTGTTTCCAGGGCAGGATAAGCTAGCAGATCCCCAAACCATGGACCACCTGGCCAGAGAATTGCAGACCAGAAACTTCCTAACCCCTGAAATTATGATTAAGAAATGTTACAGGATGTTGATCCCAGCTTCCTTGGTCTTCCCCTTTAAAACACTCTAACTCAAAGACCAAACTGGAATGGACCTAAGGCTTATCCCCATCTCCCTTGCTTGGTGCCCTGCAATAAACGCTGTGCTTTCCTTCACCACAACCTGGTGTCAGTACACTGACTTTCCTGTGCAGCAGATGATGGAAGCCTGAGTTGAGTTTGGTAACAGTTGTTCTTTAAAAATCAGAGGAATCCCTAAAATTCTCTTTATTATTGTGGTGTCCCAGGCTTTTGCCTTACGAAGTTATAATAGTCCTGTCAGTATAATAGCCACCCACTTTTATCCTTCTAATGTCATTAGATGCCAAAAAATGTGTAATTATCTATCTTCAAAACATATTGAAGTTTTAAAAATATTCTATAAAGTAATAGTTTATTGCTGTGGTTATTTAATAAAAGTCAAAGTTCCTTATAGTTAAACATATTTTTTGGTCAGAATGGTAATCATCAAAAAGTCTACACACAATAAATGCTGGAGAGGGTGTGGAGAAAAGGGAACCCTCTTACACTGTTGGTGGGAATGTAAATTGATACAGCCACTATGGAAGATGGTATATTCCTTTAAAAACTAGGAATACCTCCAACTAATAAAAATAAATGAGAAAAAAAAGTTTGATAACCTTAAAAAAATAATATTAGCTTATGAATCACCTAAATATTACCTGCCTAGGGACTGTTTGAAAAGGAAAGAAAGAAAACACCTAGGTAAAATGAATAAAATAGAATAAAAGAAGAAAATTCTCTTTCATTTTAATTTAATGCTTCTCGGATGGAGAAAAGACTGCTACTGACCCTCAATATTCAGTCTAAGTAATAGCTTTCCCCACCTTTTAAATGGACACATCTCAATGAACCTTATCAACATATTCTCTATCTTTCCTTGCAGTTGAGTGTGAATATGTAAGTTTGGACAATGATATGTGAATGGATTCTTGTGCCACCTTTTTGCCTGCCACCATATCCTTCCCACAGGCTAGAGAGCTGATGGGGAGGTGAGCCAATATCAACCACATGGCCTATAATGACATTGGGTATGGTGGAGCAGTAAGGTGGAAGAAACCTGGGTGCTTTCCAGTCCAGGAATGCTCAACTCCCCTTTGATTATCTCAGAAGAGGGAAAAAATTTTCTCTCTTAGGTAAACCGCTATTATTTGAGTTTCTTTGTAACAGAGAAAGAGGAATCAAAAACCCCAAAGTTAGTAGGAAAGAAATCATAAAGATCAGAGCAGAAATAAATGAAAAAGAAATGAAGAAAATGATAGCAAATATCATTAAAACTAAAAGTTGATTCTTGGAGAAGATAAACAAAATTGATAAACCATCAGACTTATCCAAAAAAAATAGGGAGAAGACTCAAAAATCAATAAAATTAGAAGCTAAAAAGGAGAAGTTACAACAGACAATGCAGAAATACAAAAGATCATAAGAGATGGCTACGAGCAACTATATGCCAATAAAATGGACAACCTGGAAGAAACGGACAAATTCTTAGAAAAGTAAAACTTTTCAAGACTGAACCAGGAAGAAATTAAGTCTCTCTGTTAAAACAAACTATCTTGTACACTAACTTCCACAGTTGAGGATTTAAAAAAAAAATCTTGTTCAGTTCTCATTATTTGAGTGGCTCCTATTGCTATAAGGCACCAGGGATAAAGTGGTGACCAAATCTAGTCTCTGCCATCATGAAAATTTAAGAACAGTGGAGGAGAAACACAGTAAAAAATAATTATGCAAATAAATGTGAAACTACAAGTTGTGACACTAGTCTCATTATTTAGGGACATTCAAGTCCACTTAATTCCCTTTCAACATGATTACTCTCAAAATATTTGAAATCTCAAAGTTCTTGTTACTTCCTAAGAAGAAATAGTTATTTCCAACATTCCTCTTATATGGTTTGGAGTTTCTCATAATTGAGTCACTCCAATAGACTCTCATCCTTCTTGATATACAATGACTCAAATGGAATTTACTAATCAGGATGTGATCCAAAAAAAAAAATCAGGATGTGATCCAACTGAAACAGAATTTGAGCCTGTATTAGTTTTCTATGAAAGCTATAACAAATTGCCACAAATTTAATGGCTGAAAATAACACAAGCCTATTCTCTTACAATTCTAGAAGCCCAAAACCTCTGGGTGGGTGTTAAATGTTCCTCTAGACATTTCTGTGCAAGGATGTTTTGGAGGTGTTTATATAATTGCTTTTGTACTTACATACAATTTTGTGTCCCTTTTGTACTTACCAAATAAACATTTTTTTGTGTGTTATGTGTTCTTAAAAAGTCCAAAAAATAAAAATAAAAAATAAAAACTAGGAATAAAAGCACCATATGACCCAGCAATCCCACTCCTAGGCATATACCCTGAGGAAACCAAAACTGAAAAAAGACACATGTACCCCAAAGTTCATTGCAGAACTATTTAATTGCTAGAACATGGAAGCAACCTAGATGTCTATAGACAGATGAATGGATAAAGAAGTGGTACATATGCACAATGGAATATTACTCAGCCATAAAAAGGAAAGCATTTGAGTCAGTTCTAATGAAGTGGATGAACCTATTATACATTAGACAGAATGAGCCTATTACACAGAGTAAAGTAAGTCAGAAAGAGAAAGATAAATATTGTATACTAAAACATATATACAGACTCTAGAAAGATGGTGCCGAAGAATTTATTTTCAGGGCAGCAATGGAGAAACAGACATAGAGAACAGACTTATGGACTGGGGGAGAGGGGAGGAGAGGGTCAGATGTATGGAGAGAGTAACATGGAAATTACGTTACCATATATAAAATAGATAGCCAATGGGAATTTGTTGTATGGCTCAGGGAACTCAAACAGGGTCTCTGTATCAGCCTAGCGGGGTGGGATGGGGAGGAGATGGGAGGGAGGTTCAAGAAGGAGGGGGCATATGTATACCTAAGGCTGATTCATGTTGAGGTTTGACAGAAAACAACAAAATTCTGTAAAGCAATTATCCTCAATTGAAAAATAAATAATTTTTTTTAAAAATCAAGGCTTAACAAAAAAACATATTTTTGACCAATCTTAAGGAGATAGTTTTATCTTTACCATAAATTAAGCAATAAATTCATGTTTTAGTTGATGAATTGATTGGAAAATGAAGTGCTAACAGGCACCATGTTAAACATTTGTGAATGACTGCTTGAAATTAATACTCACTGATGAAAATGTTCAGGAATTAGATACACTCATACCTACCAACCAAGCCTTGTGTAGGGAAATGACAAGTAGTAAGATGCCGAGGGGCTAGAAACATGTGTCAGTGGCTGAGAGCTGCCAATAAACATCTCACGTATGCTCTTCTCCAAAGACTTGTACATGAAGGATAAGGAATCCTGAAATTAAATGATTACAGACAGAAAAAGACACAGCATAGTCAACAAAGCTACTGCTTCAAGTCAAAGGCATTAGACTTTAAGAAATATGTTTGAGGTGTTTTTTTTTAATATCTGTTTACTTGGCTAAATAAATAGTAAATAATAAGTAAATATTTATTTACTTGGCTGCACTGGGTCCCAGGTGGGGCACACAGGATCTTCAATCTTCACTGCAGCACGTGGGTCTTTTAGTTGCATCATCCAAACTCTAAGTTGTGGTGTGTGGGATCCAGCGCCCTGATTAAGGATCAAACCCAGGCCCTCTGCACTGGGAGCGCAGAGTCCCAGCCACTGGACCATCAGGGAAGTCCCAAGAAACAAGTTTTCACAAGTGATGAAAAATAACTTATTGACTCCTATCAATAAGTAAGGAGACTTAAGACTGGAAATTAGGAGAGTGAAATCACACCCACAATACATGCTCAGGGATGGGAGTAGAGCCTAAAGGTCAGGACCATCAAGAGAAGAGTCAGTTGACATTAACCTGAACCAACCACGCCAGGATAGTCTACTAATGTGCTGAATGTAACTGAACAAAATCGTTGTTAAAAAATAAAAAGTTTTTAGAAGGTAAGTCCGCTCAAATCTAGAACTATAAATATATTTGTGTGTACATATCCTCCTTTTCTCCCCGCAAACCAATGAACTGGAACACCACCACGATGCCAGAAACCCTCCCAACCATATTCAGATTGAGAGGCTGCTGGATTTGCTTCGAGTCCCAAGAAGCTGGGAAGGCATGAGGGGTCATGTGTGGAGGGCTGGAAGCTGTGTTCAAGAGAAACTGGGGGGACAGCAAGCCCCCCCAGCTTAGGATGCTGAATTGTTGTTAGTGTGGTTGCTGCAGACACACAAACACAGACCAGAGCAGCCCCGAGCAAACTGGTTGGGCACTAGATACATTCAAGTTCAGGGATCACTCGAAATCCACCCCAGGTGACACCAAACGAGAATTGTCGGCTGCCCCAGAGCAGGTTCAGCTCAGAGCCGTGGGGCAGCCCTGGACCCCCAGGCTCCAGAGAAGCACAGCTTAGCAGGGCCCTGCAGGAAGGGACTCAGCCTTCTGTTTTTCCAGTCTAACCTCTCCGGCAGGTCGCCCCCGGATTGCTCACCTGAAGCCCAGTTCTGGCTTCCTCATTCATTCAGAAATCACCACGCCAGGCATCACACCAGGCCTTAGAAATGTAAAGTCCTCCTCTTACACAACTTTTCCTTTTGTGAAGGAGACAGATACAAATAACTGCAGCACACATGATGTGTGTTTGGACAGAGTTCCCTGGTCTAAATCTCGGTACATCATTTGCAGAACTCATTGCAAAATGAAAATGCAGAGCTGCTTGTTCAAAAGTTATTAAGAATTTGACCCTCCTCCACTGCTGGTGAGAATGAAAACTGATACAACCACCCTGGAGAAGAGTATGGAGTCTCCTCAGAAAACTAAAAATAGATTTATTATATGATTCAGTAACCCACTCCTGGGCAAATATCCAGAGAAAACCATTAATTCAGAAAGACACATGCACACCAATGTTCATTGCAGCACTATTAACAGTAGCCAAGATATGGAAGTAACCTAAATGTCCATCGACAGAAGAATGAATAAAGAAGATGTGGGGTGTGTGTATATATATATATATTTACACACACACACCAGAATACTACTCAGCCATAAAAAAAGAATGATATAATGTCATTTGTAGCCAGATGGATGGACCTAGAGATTATCATACAAGGTGAAGTAAGTCAGACAGAGAAAAACAAATATCATATGATATCATAAATGGAATCTTCAAAAAATGATACAGGGAACTTATTTACAAAACGGAAACAGACTAACAGACTTTGAAAACAAATTTAGGGTTACCAGAGGGGAAACAGTGTGGGGAGGGAAAATTAAGAGTTTGGAAACAACCCATACCCACTACTATATATAAAATAGATAATCAACAAGGACCTACTACATCATACAGGGAACTCAATATTCTGTAATAGTCTACACAGGAAAAGAATTTGAAAAAGAAGGTCTATATATGTATATGTATAATTAAATCACTTAGCTATATACCTGAAAGTAACACAACATTGTAAATCAACTATACTTCAATATAAAATAAAATTCAAATTTAAAAAAGGTAAGAATTTTAAGGCAATAACAGCAGAACATTAAAGCAAATATGGGGTCAGACTTCCCTGGTAGTCCAGTAGCTAAGACTCCATGATCCCAATGCATGGGGCATCATGTTCAATCCCTGGTCAGGGAACTAGATCCCACATGCAGCAACTAAGATCTAGTGCAGCCAAATAAACAAATATTTAAAAACTTTAAAATGAATAAATAAACCAAGTAGGGGGCCCTTCTAAGCATGACGAAGGGCACCTTCTACATGACTGCACGGGCCACACACTGTGAAGCAGGCTGTACTGGGACCCCCGCCCAGGTCACAAAAGTGTTTACACCCTTCTCTACAATCTGATGCCAGTTTCCCTTCCCGATTCTCGCAAGTACTCTGATTCCTTGTCCTGTGTTCCAGGCAAATAAGACTGCTCAAATTTCCAAACATCCTGAAACTTTCCTAACCCATTTCCAGGAATACATGCTCAATGATGAAACACTGTCAGTTGGTTACTATTCAAGGCCTAACTCAGATTCCAGCTTCTGCACGAAAACTTCTCTGATGGCAGTTACATAATTTTTTTTTTTTAATCTAAGAGGCTGTGTCTCTCCTCCCACCAACCATGGTATTAGTTGCATCTTACTCAGAAATGGTTAGTTTTGTATTTATCACCCCATTAGACTAAAATTTTCTAAACATCAGAGACTATTCCCCTTTCATCTCTTATCCCCCCAGTAGAATGGCTGACACTTATGATGATCTCATGGAGGAACTTGATAGGCAGTGGTCTTCCCTTGGTGTGGGGCTTTGCACTATGAGTCTACAATATTGCTGACATACTTTGCTCTAAGGACAGAGCAGGAGTGACCCAAGGGCCCCTGAGCTCCACTGGGCTTTCCAAAGGCCACTGAGGCTCAGGCCTTCAACATAGGATGTCTCCAGAACAAACCAGACTTGAAGACCAAGGATACTTGTGAACCTGGCTCATGCCCAGGTGACTTTCAATGAATGATTGAAACAGCCAGTGATCCTACAAAACGCAGCATCACAGGAAGCAGAATGTACCTCTCCATTAAAAGCAGAAAATTCTTACCATGGTCCAGGAATCCACACTAAAGAACACTCCTCTTTTGGTATAGTTTATATGCTTTCCAATATTTTTAGTTAGGGCTGCAGTCACATTTTTATGAAAACCATTCTTCTGTACTTTTGAGCTGCTAGAGAGAGAGAGGAATGAAATAGTTAAAACTGAGGAAACAGCAACTCACCCTGAATAACTGAGTTGAAGATGTAATCAAGTTAACCCCAGGTTAAAAGGTCATAAAATTTTAACATCTGCAAATTGAAGGAACAGCAACACAAAAAGCAAAATTTTAGAAAAACTTCTATAGGTTATTCCACAACATCTTTTAATAAACCCATTTCCAAGGTTGAAAAAGCCAGTCCTTACAAAAATATTTTCTATAGCCTCAAAGTTCTTTAAGTGTATGAGTTTGGATTCTTTCCAGATTACTTTAAAAAATCAGAAGTTAAATCAACATTTCATATTAATGGCCAAAACATGGTCACAGTTATTCAGGAAACTGGTAGGTGAGTGGACTGATTTTGCTTTAAAGACATGGGAGAATTAATTATACAATAAAAATACATTTTTAAATACTATGTTTTAACAAGTCTACATATCAGAAGCCTAAAAAGCCAAGTAGGTTTCAGAAATGCTTACAGACGGGCCACAGATGAACAAAGAGGACCTAAGACATCAGACCGTGTAGGGACCCCCAACAATCTAGAGTTCTTAAATCCAACCTAAAGACAAGGAGTTATATTAAAACAAAACTTATCTAATTTGAATAACTTAAACAGTGAGGACTTACCTGAACTTTTTTTGCACATTTTCAATTCTTTTGAAGCTCTGAACTCTCTCTTTTATTGCAATGTTTTTCCTTTTGAGTATCTAACACTTGCTCACCCTTAAATATTTTGGCTGAAGCATCAACTCTTCACAGGAAGTCTCCTGTGACTGAGTCAGGACACTGTGGTACATCATGAGCGCCCAGTGCCTGCCCTTCCTAATGCTCAAGGGTACTGACAAGTTCCCGTTCAGTGACCATCTGTCCACCTGCCAGGCCATCCATCCTCTGAGAGCAGAAGCTCTTTCTGTCTTGTTCACAATGAGGTCTCTAAACGCCTAAACTAGTTCCTGGTACCTAATGATGAGGACATAATATAGTTTGTGCTATCTTATTAGTAATATAATATTTACAGGATTAATACGGTTATTAAATCCATGAATAAATGGTTGGTACTCAACTCCAGCAGGGAGTACCACCTCAGAGAATACAAATCAGACCCTCTGGCTCTCTTCCTCAGAAACTGAGAGGGCGTCTCCCACCCAGTATCATTAAAAATTACTTTTTCAGGGAAGAATACGGTCACAGTTTATGAGTAATGGCAATAATGGTAATGATAATAATATGATTACCTATCATTTACTAGTTAGTGAGCAACTCACTCAGTCGTGTCCAACTCTTTTGTAACCCCATGGATTGTAGCCCGTCAGCCTCCTCTGTCCGTGGGAATTTCCCAGGCAAGAATACTGGTGTGGGTTGCCATTTCCTTCTCCAAGGGATCTTCCTGATTCAGGGCTCAAACCCACGTCTCCTGCATCTCCTGCACTGGCAGGCGGGTTCTTTACCACTGGCATCACCTCGGAAGCCTTACTAAGGCGGTAATTGCTTTCTATCCACTCACGCACACACCACAACTCTGGGAGTATGGATATGTATTTTTTCCAGTTTGCCAGAGGAAGCTGCACCTCAAAAAATAATTAGGCAACTTGTTTCAAAATCACACAATGGCAGCCCTGGAGCTGGAACCTCTGTCTACAAAGCCCATGCTTTCAGAGTCTACAGAGCACCCCTCTGCGTGAGATGTTCTTTTTCTGTGAGTCATTTGGGAATCCACTTACCCCTGGGTGTGGTTTTGTTGACCGCCACATGTGATGAACAGAGGGTTCTCAGGGAGGTCGCAGTTACTAGGGAAATAGTCAAATGAGTTAGGCGTTTTTCTACCTTCTTTTCAAGCATGAATTTTTCTGAGAATCAGTGTCACATTTCAAGCCGCCTCCCCGAAGTCTTAGTGTAGAGGTGTTTATGACTTAGCCAGACAGGACTGGCGAAGGGCCTGAGTCCTACTTGATGGGGGTGGATAAGCAGGTGGAATCATGATAACAGGTCACACCCCACCACTGATCACCCCCAGACTCAGCTTCCCCCTTCCCTCCCAATTCCATCTGCTGAGTTCTCCCTGCTGACAGGAACCATCTCAGAGCTAGAGACTGAAAGAAAATCACTCCCAACTGTGGCACCTTCTGCCCATCGATGTTTGCTGTTATAATTTCTCAGTCTCATTCCTTTCAAAGCTAAAATTTCAAATTGCCTGGTGGGGATTTCCCGGCTAAGACTTCACACTCCCTGTGCAGGGGGCCTGGGTTCAATCCCTGGTTGGGGAACTAGATCCCACATGCTGCAACTACAATCAAAGATCTTGAGTGCCACAACTAAGACCAGTGCAGCCAAATAATTTTTTTCTTTAATTTTTAAAATAAAATTCCCTGGTGTTCCAGTGGCTAGGACTCTGCACTTTCACTGCCGTGGGCCCAGGTTCCATCCCTGGTTGGGGAACTAAGATGCCATAAGCCACTGGGCACAGCCAAAAAAACATGTAAAAATAGCTGCAGCACATCTAACCTTTGCTTTAATAAAAATTAAAAACAAAAATTTACAAACTCAATAATTAAGTAGGTAACTAAGTCTCCCTGTTTACAAGTAAAAAGGCTCTGATAGAATGTAAGACGTGAACTTTCTCCTCAACACCAAACAGAAGCACTAAGAGAGTGGGGATTACGAAAGAGTTTATTCTAGGATGAAAACTATTTGGAGGGAGAGGAAGACTGGAAAATCCCATGGACAGAGGAGCTGCCACAGACCCTCTTTCCCCCTGCTGGCTGATGCTTAAGCTGTCCTTGCCCTGCAGAAGATCTGCTTCCAGTGATCCCTATCCAGACCCAGCCCTACCCTGCCCAGTTCAGCAGCATGGGAGGGACTCCATCCTGAGTGGTGTGGCTGGAAATCGGTTATGAGAGAACCTCGGCTCCCTCAGACCATGAACAGATCCTGTTAGAGCCGAAATGTCTAATGTTGCAGTTGGAACTGGGGACAAGACCAGTCTGCCCTGGTCTGCATCTGAGTCTCTGGTTGACATTCACTCTGGGCGTGCTGGGGTGGAACAGAAAAGGAGCTAGACGTTGAGATGCTCTCCCATCGGGGCTGCATGTCAAATTCCAACAGAAGGCTGTGCCTTACAAATGTCTTCATTTCTGATTTTCTTTAGGAGTATGAGGCTTAAGTGAAGTGCCCTTTGAAACCCTGAAGCCCTGAGAGCTCAATTGGGGTGGAGAGGAAGATGTCTGTATCCATTGCTGGACCTTGGGGAGGTGGGCACTCCAGCCCACAGCATGGGGTCTCCTACAAGAAACAGATGTTGCACAGCTGGGGAAGCGGATTCCTTCCCACCTGGGCCATTTCTCCCAGGCCATGAACTTGGCAAAATCTACCTCTCCATCCCTAGGACAGGAGAGACATCAGCAAACCCAACCAGATGGGAGCGAGTTGGAGTTTTGAGGTGACAGCTTCCATTCTTTCCTTGCTTCATTAGGACATGACAGCACTTCCTGAGACTTTGTCCTCATTTGATCAACTGAAAAACCTGGGTTTTGTGATGGTGATGGAATAGCAATACAGGGACTGACTGATAGGAGAAAGAGTAACAATTCACCTGGTCCCGTTCTTTAACATGTAACTTGTCAGACGGTAAATATTAGTGGACCAAAACGCCATATCATCCAGCCCTCCTAGGAAGTATTCTTGAAATTGTTCCACCAAAAATGGGGATTTTCCAGAATAAGTGGGATAAAGCTAAGGCAAAGAGAAAGAAAAATAATCTAATAAACAACTGAATCAAGTGCTTCTCATGGTATCTTTATAATACTTTCAATTCAGATTTTGAAGAATAAATTCCTTTACCTTGGAAATAGCTAACATCTCTGCATACCTGCAACATAAGCAATAATTTAGACTGTGAGTTGTGATTTCCACGAAGATATGAAACGAATGAGGAAAAAGTTCCAGCAACAGGTATCCACTATCATGCAGCTGAATTTGAACAAGCAAAATCCATAAATCCAATACCCGCACTCAGGCAGCCAAAGCATCGGAAAGTGTGTTAAGGAAGTCACAATAAAATCACTTGCAAATATTCCTCCAGTTACACTTACATTTCCAAGAACTGAAGGTATGTACAGTCAACAATGGCTTTTTTGGTGATGACTGCTCGGCCGTAGAGTTCTTGATAAATTCCCAGGAGATCTTCAACAGGCACATACCTGAGAAAAGCATTAGAATGAAATAAGGGCTGTTCTGATTCTGAAGTTGAAAATAACAGCAGCAGCCACAGCAGCTACCAGTGATTCCAGGATTAATAGTTGCCAGGATTCATGAGGAGGACTTTACATGCATTATTCATTTAATCCTACCAACAACTCTGGGTGGTCGATACTATCACAGTCCTACTTCACATACAGGAAACTAAGGCACAGAAAAGTCCAATAATTTGCCCAAGGCTGCAGAACAAATGACTGGTACCCTAATCAAATATGTATACAAATATAAGAAACTGTGAAAAAAAAAAAAAAGAAACTGTGAGTAGCTCTCATGGTCAACAAGAGTCTGAAATGTGGTACTTGAGTGCAATCTCAAAAATGACAGAATGACCTCAGTTCATTTTCAAGGCAAATCATTCAACATCACAGTAATCCAAGTCTATGCTCCAACCACTAATGCCAAAGAAGCTGAAGTTGAACAGTTCTATGAAGACCTACAAGACCTTTTAGAACTAACACCAAAAAAAGATGTCTTTTTCATCATAGGGGACTGGAATGCAAAAACAGAAGTCAAGAGATACCTGGAGTAACAGGCAAGTTTGACTTTGGAGTACAAAATGAAGCAGGATAAAGACTAACAGAATTTTGTCAAGAGAACACACTGATCATAGCAAATACCTTTTTCCAACAACACAAGAGAAGATTCTATGCATGGACATCACCAGATGGTCAATACTGAAATCAGATTGATTATATCTTTGCAGCTGAAGATGGAGAAACTCTATACAGTCAGCAAAAATAAGACTAGGCGCTGACTGTGGCTCAGATCATGAGCTCCTTATTGCAAAAGTTACACTTAAATTGAAGAACGTAGGGAAAACCACTAGACCATAAAGGTATGACTTAAAGTAAATCCCTCATGATTATACAGTGGAGGTGATGAATGGACTCAAAGGATTAGATCTAGTGGACAGAACATCTGAAGAACTATGGATAGAGGTTTGTAACACTGTCCAAGAGGCAGTGACCAAAACCATCCCAAAGAAAAAGAAGGCTCTACAAATAGGCAAGGAAAGAAGAGAGGCAGGAGAAATATCAACAATCTCAGATATGCAGATGATACCACTCTAATGGCAGAAAGTCAAGAGGAACTAAAGAGCCTCTTGATGAGGGTGAAAGAGGAGAGTGAAAAAGCTGGCTTAAAACTCAGCATTCAAAAAAACTAAGATCATGGCATCTGGTCCCATCACTTCATGGCAAATAGAAGTGGGGAAACTGGAAGTAGTAACAGATTTTATTTTCCTGGGCTCCAAAAATCACTGCAGATGGTGACTGCAGCCATGAAATTAAAAGATGCTTGCTCCTTTCCTCCTTTAAGGAAAGCTGTGACAAACCTAGACAGCATATTAAAAAGCAGAGATATCACTTTGCTGACAAAGGTGTATATTGTCAAAGTTATGATTTTTCCAGTAGTCATGTACAGATGTGAGAGGTGGACCACAAAGAAGGCTGAGTGTTAAAGAATCGATGTTTTGAATTGTGGTGTTGGAAAAGACTCTTGAGAGTCGCTTGGACTACAAGGAGATCAAGCCAGTCAGTCCTAACAGAAATCAATGCTGAATATTCACTGGAAAGACTGATGCTGAAGCTGAAGCTCCAATACTTTGACCACATGATGCGAAGGGTGACTCACTGGAAAAGACCGTGATGTTGGCAAAGACTGCAGGCAAAAGGAGGGGTGGGGGGGGTGGCTTGCAGAAGATGAGATGTTTAGATCGTATTACCAACTCAATGGCCATGAATTTGAGCAAACTCCAAGAGATCATGAAGGTCAGGGGAGCCTAGCATACCGCAGTCCATGGGGTCACAAAGTCAGACAGGACTTAGAGACTGAACAACAACAACAAATAAAAGGAATGTTTAGTTTTGTAAATTCAGAGTTCAAAGAGCAATAGAAGATATTTTCATTCTTTTGAGTTGAATCACTCTCAGGAATCATTTTTTTAAAAACACTCCAAAATAACTCCTAATCCCAACATCCTACTTTCAGAATACACAGTGGTAGGTAGTAAAAAAGGATTCTAAGTCAAGCTTTTGATTCAGAGATATTAGTTACTTCAGTTGGAGGAAAAGCCACACTTAAAAAATTAGGTTTATACTGTTATCATTTATCTTTATTTAAGAAACTTTAGATTATCCCAGATATAAATGTAAATACAAACAAAACCTAATTTAGTGTATCTATAAGAAGGAATCTATTGAGACCACACCAGAATGATCTTCTCCTAAATATAGCTTAAAAGTCTAGCAAAAAGCCTAACAAAAATATTTTTTTAGATGAATCACCAAGCTAGCAAGAAAGTGAAATTTTTCCAATGGCCAAAAATAAGTTGGAACTGGAAATTTTGACAGGTTAGTGAGTGGGAAAGCCAGTTTTTGCTCTGAAGACATCTGCTAAACCTGGGAACCTAGGAGGCTTTTTTTTTTTTTGGATAGTTGTATGGCATACAGGAGACAAGAGCTAAAGGATAGGAATCAGCCAAAGTGGGCCATTTCTCACAGGAAACACCTCATTAAAGGCTATACCTTCTGCATGAGTATTAGCCAGAAATAAATTCAACACACTAACAAGCACAGCAAAGAAACCTCCGTCTTCATCTTAGAAATGGAGAGAGAGAGGGAAAGCTATCTCATCCCTAGAATCGGTAACCACTACCCAACCCTACAAATATTTTGTCTTGCATTCATGCTATCTGTGTGGTCAGAAAAACTTCCAGGGTTGAATATCATTTAAATGTGGTTCCAGTTAATAGCGCCTTGAGGTAGCCTGCAGAAGGTAAGACAAGCCTTCCCTGGAGAAATGCAACTGTAATGCAAGCCTTGAGGACCTTCAAGCCTTCATGCACCACTGAATAAAACTGAAAGAAGACCAGATCCCGGGTGATGTACAATGTGAAATGGGCATCTCATCCGGTGCAGAGCACCCTGTGCAGAGAGCTGGCGGGGAACCTCAGGTCTCTGCTGCTGCCAACTCTTCCCGGGGCATCCAAAGGCCAGTTGTCCTCATCTGCCTTGAGAGTGACCTGTTGGTTCTGGGTCTCCCTTAGCTCTGAGGCAGCTGGACCAGGGATGGGAATGGGCAACTTGCCAGGCCCCCAGCTCTAGTTCTTTGCTCTGTAAGCATCCCTCCCTGCTTCCAGCTCTCCATACTCAGACTAAGGCTGAGGGACAGAGTTATGTCACCTTCCGTCTGCTTAGAAAACATGTGAAGAAAAAACAACAGTGTATCCAACAGTAGTATCTGATAAATCGGACTTGAAGGCAGTAAGTATTGTAAAATATAAAGACAACCACCAGATAGAAAGCTTGATTCACCAGAAAGACATGAGATTTGAAAACGTGAATATACTTAACATGTGTTCAAACACATGTATAGCAAACTTTGACCTAACTATAAGGAGAAACCGAAAAATTTCATCATCATAAGGAGGAGATTTTTAAATAAATTTCTCAGTAATTGTGAGACTGTCCAGATAAAAGTAGTAAGATTATATTATTTAAAACTTATGAATCTTCTGATCTGAGCAGTACATTTAAAAAGCTTGAGCTAATACACATATATATAAAATGTTAAACCACAAATTGGAGAATTAACATTCTTTTCAAGTACAGATGAAAAATTAATAATATATAATTAAATAAATGCTAATAGATAAAAATTAATCATTTGGTAGACCTTAAAATCAAGACTCAACTTTCACAGGAACCAAAGAGTAGAAGGAAAAAAATAAATATAAGAAAAAGTAATGAAAGAGAAAAAGAACATATAGTATTAATAGATAGGATCAATAAAGCCAAAAGTTTTTTTCAATAATAAAACTGAAAAATATTAGACATGATTAACAGTTTAAAAATATGAGAGAAGGCACAATAAATAACATTGTAGATACCAAACAAACAGAAGTACAAATAAAATGAGGGGGAAAAATGAGGATATTATGAACTCCCTTAAGCCAAAATGTTTAAACACTCAGACAAAATAGAAAAGTCCTAGAAAAATAATAACTCTTTAAGAATAAACTGAAAAACAGTACAGTCCTAAAACCAAAAGTCACTACTTTTTGAAACATCTGGCTTTATAGACAAGTTCTACCAAACATTCAAGAAATCAAAGTTATAATCTTACACAAACTCCCAGAAAACAGCAAAGGAAGGTATACGCCTCACCTGATTCATGAAATCAGGTGAGGTGTATACCTTTGAAGAAAGGTACATTTCTTCAAGGTACATTTGAAGAAAAAGGACAGGCTGGGAAATCAGCCCTGATAGATGTCAAAATGTATTAAAGCTGTTTTAGTTTTAAAACTCAGTATTGCTTAGGAATAGTCAATTAGGCCAATAAAACATGATAGAAAGCCCAGAAACTGACCCACATACACATGGAATTTTATGTCAGAGAGAACACTGCAAATAAGTGAAGAAGATCAGACTATTGATAAATGGTTCTGAGACAATCAGTTATCTCTGTAGGAAAAAAATAAAATTTCTATCACAGAATATACAAAAAATTAACTCCAGGTAAATTAAAGATCTAAAGTTAAGAAAGGAAACCATGCTGTGATAACCTAGAAGGGTGGGAAGGGGTGGGAGGGAGATTCAAGAGGGAGGGGATATAGGTACACCTATGGCTGATTCATACAGATATATGGCAGAAACCAACAATACTGTAAAGCGATTATCCTACAATTTAGAAAATAAATTAGAAAAAAGAAAAAAATGAAACTATAAAATATTTAGAAGGCTATGTAGGAGAATAACCTCATGCCCTCAAGGTAGGAAAGGATTTCTTAAATAAGATGTCAAAATTACAAATTACAAAGGAAGAGACTGATACATTCAACTACACTAAAATTAATAAATTCTATTTACCAAGATATACCATAAGTAAAAAGATATGCCACAAACTATTAAAAGATATTTATATCAAATAATTGATAAACTGACAAAAGATTGAACCCAGAATATACCAAGAACACTCAGAAATAAAAAGGAAAACCCAACAGAAAAATAGGCTAAAAACCAAACAAGTTTCTCACTTAAAATGAAATACAATCAATAAAATATGAAAGAATATTCAAACTTATTATAACAGTAACCTGGAAAATGAGAATTAAAACTTTAAGGAGATACCATTTTATACCAAATAGGTTAGAAGAATTTTAAAGCTGGACAATACCAAGTATTCAAGAACACAGAAGGAGAACAAAACTGATGGGAATACAAATTGGGAGGACCATTCTAAATGACAGCAGGGATTATTTATTTAGGTTAAACGTGCCTAAATCCTATGGCCCAACAGTTCCACTTCTGGTACCATTTACTTGAAAGAGATTCCCCTCTAGTGCAAAAATACATGTACAAAAATGTACACAGCAACATGATGTGTAAAGCAAAAACACTTAACACTACTTACACATCCAGCACTAGAATCAAGTCATATTGGCAGATTTACACAAGGGAGGACCATACAGTGGTGAAAATCAATGGACTATCGCTGAACATATCAATATGATTAAATGTCAGGGAAATAATTTTAAACAAGGAACATTTTAAAATTAAATTCTAATTTAAAATTTAATTTTAAGCAAAATGCATGATGTATAATTATATTTAAAGTAAAAACCCATATAATATTTTGCATACACATATGACTGTGCTTATGTGCTCAGCTGTGTCTGACTCTCTGCGACCACACAGACCGCAACCCACCAGGCTCCTTTGTCTGTGAAATTTCTGGAATGGGTTGAATGCTGGAGTGGGTTGCCATTTCCTACTCCAGGGGACCTTCCCGACCCAGGGATCAAACCCACGTCTCTTATGTCTCCTGCATTGACAGGTGGGTTCTTTGCCACTGGTACCACGTGGGAAGCCCCATGGATATGGCTACATGTAGTAAAACTCTAAGGGAAAAGCGACTAAGTGATTAAGAGAACCTAAGGTTATGGTTATACCTAGCGGGAGAAAAGGTGATACAACAGAAGGAAAGGCAGGGAGCCTCTATATTCCAGCAATGATCTACTTCTTAAGGTAGCTGGCAGCTATACAGTATTTTTTATTTATAAAAAATACATTATTTTATATGTTTGGCATAATTCACAGATTTTTAAAAGAATCTATTTAGACTAATCTTTAATTATGCTTTCCAACATGTACAAATGTAGAAGGCTCCTTATTACATCATAAGTTTTACTTTCTAAGGAAAAAAAAGAGTCAAGCTCCTAACTGCCACTTGGGTATCACATATTTAAATATACATTGCTCTTACCAGTGCCGTGAGAGGTAATTAAATTTAAACTCGAACTGGCTCAACACGTCTCCTCCTATGATATGAGAAAAATATTTGCTTTTGGAGAATTAATGACAATACATAGCAAGCTTCTTTGAACATAAATTTGCACAATCCAGTTTATTAGTTCTTCACACTGTTATAGGTTTCTGTTCATTATTTTAGTTTCATAGGCATATCTTTAAGAAAAAAATGATCTTTTAAAATCTTAGTGAAACACATGAATTAAGAAAGAGAATTAAGAGAATAAAGAAACTCATATAACCAAAAGTTTTTTTTTTTTACTTTAAGATGGACCATAAAGATTCTTCTATTTAAATAAACACTACTCACCATTACTGTGAATATTTAAAGGTAATTAAATATAGAAAAATGATAGAGTTTATCCATTTAAAGCTAAAGTATTAGGCGACACTAGGCAATGAATTTAAATCTGATTTTAAAAGTAATGCTTTTCTAAAATAATGGCACAAGTCAATGATAAAATATAATGGTGTTTTTTTAGTTGTTTTGTTCTTTTTTGGCTGCACCTTAAGGCATGTGGAATCTCCCTGATCAAGGATTGAACCTGAGCCCCCTGCAATGGAAGCGCAGAGACTTCTTAACCACTGAGCCATCAGGGAAATCTCCATTTTTTTGTTTGGTTTTTACAAAATACATATATATTATTATATATTATATAACATATATACATATACACATATATACATATATAATGCAAATATACATACATAAAATATATTTATAATCTTTGCAGATGTGCATCTCTATATTAAATGAAGTATTCCTGTACTCTAAACAATTGCAATATTAAAATAGAAAGCTAGTGGCAAGAAACTAAAAACATACATACATAAGGTACAATAATGACTACAAGTGAAATATAACTACCACGAAAGACAATCTGGCAAATGTAAATAAATAGTACCGAAATCACCAGCCGGATGTGCCTCGGAATAGGAATTGTGAAAATCAATCTGAGGGAAAAAAGAGAACCATCCAATATATATCACAAATTGAAGCCCAAACTCTTACCCCACAATGAAGCAATGCGTGGGACCCAACGACTACTGAGGATGTGTAGTGACTGGACTCACTTTTCAAAGAAACATTTAATTTTATTATTTGTTTTTTAAAAAAATGATACTGGCAGCTGAGTTATATGCTTCATGTCTTAACAGATAAAGCTGCTGCAAATGTTTGTATCTAACAGGATACATGAACAATCTCTAAGTGCAAGTTTAAATTTTTTACAGGATAGTATTAATATCAATGAATAGCCAGAGGGGACTTTCATCAGGTAAGGTCACAGTTTTCAGTGGGGATATGGCATCTTCATATAGAAAAGGAAAAAGGAAAAAAAAAAAAACAAAAGCATGTTAACTTACTTTCAGATAAAACCAGATAGTAGGGGTTTATACCTCTATTAGAGATGTACAGCTTGAATAAAACATAAAATTTCTCAAATATTGTTTGTGACTAAGCAGAACATGACATCTATGGATGTTTTCAGGGCACATTAGTCAATCTGCCCACATGGATCAATTTACACAGGTAGCAAATGTGTAAGAGTAATGAACAAGAAAAGATGGAAATCTAATGAATACTGCATTGAGCACAGTCTTATTTCCATGTGAATCTGAATAACCTAAAGTTTTTCTTTTCCGAAAATGGTCAGTTTTTAAAAAATTTTTTTAATTTCATTTTTTTAGCACCGAAAACATTTTGTATTTAGGTATAGCCGATTAACAATGTTGTGGCAGGTGAATAGTGGAGGGTCTCAGTCATACATATACATGTATCCATTCTCCCTTCAACCCCTCTCCCATCCAGACTGGCACATAACATTGTTGATTATCCATTTTAAATATAGCGGTGTGTACATAACCTTAACAAAGTCCCTAACTATCCTAAAAGAGTCAGGTTTGAATCTTGGGTAGGACAATATCGTTCCCACAAAGTCATTAACCTGAAGCTATGTACTCACAGCAGCCATCGTCCTGAGGAATCCTTGTTCAATACCCAGGCTATGCCAGTTGACATCAGCCACCATGTGAGATGTAATTCCAAACAAGAAAGCTATCAATTTCTCTGTGTCCTGCCAAATAAGCAAATTAGAGTTGGGGGTAGGGGGAAGGTAGTTATATTATAGCAATCTTATTAAAAGGATTAATAAATATGAATTCATTTCCATTACTGAGACTTAACAAAACATCAGAGACAGGTATGTTGTAGTTACCCCAGAACCACAAAGGACTTTTTCTGAAATGTTTCTGAGTGCCTTGAAACTGCTTTCAGATTTATTCACTAGGGGAGCAAAACAACAGAGTGACATGCCCCAAATTTTAAAAACATTGCTTATTGAAAATAAAACTGAAGATGTAAATTTTGAAAAATCATTTATTCACGTGTTAACTAGCTATTTACTATGTTCCATATGCTGTGTTTGGCACTGAGGCAGAAGGGTGAGTAGCTCTTAGAATCTGGATTTAAGGGTTGGGGTTAGAAATGGAATTAATGCAAGTGCAATGATAGTACTTGGCAAGTCTGAAACTGAGTATTTTTAGGGTTAGAGGCTGTGCCTACCTCATCCCAGGGAAGAGGATGGTTCTTCCGGATATAATGAATGCTTGCATTAAGAAATGGAGTCCAGTGAGTGCTCTCTGACACATCATGGAATTGTCCTGACAAAACAGAAGCAACTCTCAGAGGTCCTTCTTAAAAGGCTGAAGATTCTCTTGTATATTCATACCACATCTTTCTTCATCCATTCATCTGTCAGTGGACACTTAGATTGTTTCTATGTCTTTGCTAATGTAAATAGTGCTTCAACAAACACTGGGGTACTTGTGTTGATTTGAACAATGGAATATTACTCAGTCATAAAAAGGACTGAAAGTGGGTCATTAGTAGAGATGTGGATGAACCTAAAGACTATCCTACAAAGTAAGTCAGAAAGAGAAAATCGTCTATTAATATATAAACATGCAATCTAGAAAAATGGTACAGATGAACCTGTTTGCAAGGCAGAAATAGAGACACAGATGTAGGGAACAAACTTATGGATACCAAGAGAAGCAGGGGATGAACTGGGAGATTGGGATTGACATATAGACACTAATATGTACAAAAGACATAACTAATGAGAACCTGCTATATAGCACAAGGAACCCTACTTGGTGTTCTATGGCAACCTAAATGGAAAGGAAATACAAAAAAGGGGATATGTGTATAAAAATAGCTGATTGACTTCAACATACAACAGAAACCAATACAACACTGCAAAACAACTATACCCAAATTTTCTTTAAAAGTTAGAGATTCTCAATGAAATATTCCACCACCACCTGCTGTGTTGCTGTGTTCCTTCACCTTCCCTCCAAGCCTCTTAGTTTCCTGAGTCAATATTCAAAGGAAGCCTCTAGGTCAGAACAGCCAGCCAAAAGAAAAACGAGCCTTAACTGCTCATAGCATCTAGAACTAGCTGGGCTGCAAGAGAAGCTGGAAGTGTTAAGTTCTGTACCCTAAAGCTAAAGAAATAAGCTGTCCCTATTTTTTTTTTGGCGGGGGGGGCGGGTTTTAAATCTTTTCCATCACAGCCAGCCTCCCTAACAGCACAAAAGAAAAAAGCAGATATTCCAACAGCTTTCAAGTATTTGAATTTATAATACTTTTAAACGGGGTGTGCTATATGCCTCTTTATTCCCACAGGAGGGATGAGTGGAAAAAAACAGGAACTGACATCTATTCTAAACCTTCAAATGCCAGATTCTTCATGGAGTGTAATATGTCATAACAGCAATCAAAAGCAAAATCCCAGAGTTCAGATCCCTCAAGTCAAATTTTTTAGATCATTATTAAACTAAAAATAGCCTAACCACTTTTGTTTAAAATATAACTGAAGCACATTTAACTTAATATTATCTTGGGTTTGCATCACACTTGACAAAATAACCTATGTTAATGCCAACAGCAATTCAGTATAGCAGCCAGGCATGCGTTAATTATTACTATTAAATAGTAATTAATTTAGATATTACTATGTTGCAAACATGGAAACTGAGACTCAGCATGGAAGGGGCTTTTTCAAGGGCACATGCTAACAGATAACATCCAAGGAATAAAAACTCGAACCTTTTGATTTCCTTCAAAATGTTCTCTCTTCTGCCACGAAGCAGGAGAGTAAGTCAGGGTGCTTAGAATAAAGCTTTCAGAATTTCTACCCTTAAGCAAGTAAATTTCGGTTAAATGGAAACCATAACCAAACTAAGTCATTGATCAACAACAGTGGAAAATACAATGTGTTGTTTGATCTTTTTTTGAGTCTGAGCTATTCCTATCAACCAAGGGAAAGCAACATCATCTGGTCTGTAAGTCTTCATCTTACCTCTCTCGCAGATGCTAGGGTAAAATGAGTCAGGAAACACGGATCCAGCCTGATATGCATCCCGGTGCCTAAGGAACAACTGGGGAGCCGGAAAATACAGAAGTTAGAGGGCAAGAGAAAACAGCCTGGGAGAAGCAGGCCCAGGTGTGGGAAGTTAGAACAATGTGATGGTAGGGGAGAAGTGATGGAAGGAAGAAGTGAAGGAAGGAAGGCACAAATAAATTAGAATAACTCTTGTATCAATATAATTCGAACAGCACCCTACCAAATGTATTTCAGGTTCTCTCATACCCAAAACAGACAAGCTGATTATATAGTAGTAAAAAAATCACCTATTTGAATTTAATCTTTTGCTTTTTTTTCTGTCCACCCAGAAGAACAAGATTTCCCCAAGACTATTTCACCGACCCAGAACTGGTGTGTGGTAAGCTTTTTGATAACCTAGTGACAACCTGTAAAATGAGAAAAATACAGACACATATACATATATATTTATTGGGGCTTCCCAGGTGGCGCTGGTGGTAAAGAACCCACCTGCCAATGCAGGAGGCATAGGAGATGCAAGGAGATGCAGGTTTGATCCCTGGGTCAAGAAGATCCCCTGGAGAAGGAAATGGCAACCCACTCCAGTATTCTTGCCTGGAGAATTCCATGGACAGAGGAGCCTGGTGAGCTACAGTCCATGGGATCGCAAAGAGTCAGACGTGACTGGACGACACACACACACATACACGTATATACATACATACACATATACATGTATCAGTTCGTATCTATTTGTGTGTGTGTTTATAGTTGCGACCTGTGCTTTAGAGGAAGATGATATCCTTTATAGATTAAAGATTATAACCTTTTGGAGGGTTACAAAAATACCCTTTCCCACTTCCAACATGACGCATAAGTTGGTGGTAGAGGTTGTCTTCCCAGCGTTCTTCCTTGGTGGCCTGGCTCACTCCATCCCATTCCAACCCTCTTATGGCTACACCTAGTGAGTGCTGGGGCCTAGAAAATGAAGACTTCATTCCCCAGCCGCTACTGAGGAGCCACTTGTCCCTATGTGCTCCCAGCCAGCATGGAAATGTTTGGCCTTTCCATAGCAGAAGTAGAGGGGGCCCAGGTGATCACAGGCAGAGTAGAGGGCATCGGTTTTGCTACCAAGGAGCGTGGCTGAGGTGATGACGTCCCGGAGCCAACAGTCAAGATGGCGGCTTCTTACTTTCCAAACCACACAGGAGACAGTTGGACACGGAGCTCGTGAATGGAACAGTGTCTGTTTGACTGCTTAGTGGCTCTGGCAGACCAGTTCTGTGTGTTGTTCTGGGAGTCCTGTCCGGATACTCAGCTTAGAGTCTGCTCCTCCATTTCTCACAGTTTCTCAGCACTGAATCCCCTAATACGTGGTCTTGTACCCCTCTCAGCATAAGAGGGGTTTCCTCTTATGGAAACCCGGAGGGGTTTCCGCTATCTGCAAATGAACTCTGACCCAATGGGCAAGGGAAAAGTCTGGCAATCCAACTTTTTGATTTTTCAATAGGGACTTACTAATAACATAGGCTAGATGTAGAAGCAACAAAGAAGTACCTCAAAGAACTTGAAACAGAAGGAAATACAGTATCACCTACTTTTTGTTTTTGCTTTTTCAAGCAGTGTCTCCTCCTCAGTCTTCTAAAGACAGAATCACTTCCATATTGAGCAGGTGAGGCTGACTGACCACAGGGGAACAAGGACAACACATCCACTCCCACTAGAGTGTTTGGCCCAGAGATGTTTGCTTGACAAAAGCTAACAGCTAGAATGTCCCCCAAGACTTCTCAGCTAGAGCTGTGGGGAGAAGAAAGAAGATGCTTTCTTCTCTTCAGGGTTTTATTTGTTTGTTTTAAGACATTCTTTTGTTTTTAAGATGATGCTCTTTCTCCATCTTATTTATTTTTGGCCATACCTTGTAGGTAACTGGGATCTTAGTTCCCCGACCAGGGATCGAACCTGTGCCCCCCTGCAGTGATAGCACAGATTCTTAACCACTGGACTGACAGGGAAGTCTTCGCCTCTTCAGGGATTTTAAACTTAGAAACTGAGTCCTGGATGGCCGGTGTCGTCCAGTGTCTAGGAGACAGAGTACCACTTAGACCTCTTAGTCCAGCTCTGCCCCAGGTTTATCAGTTACATGAACCCTTAGAGTCTTTTTTCTAAAGACAGTTGGAATTGGACTTTTGCCACTTAAAAGTAATAATTAACTTTGCTGAATATTTACCTTAGCAGCCACTGTAATGGTCACTTTATATGTATTAAGACTTGTTGAATCTGCATCTCCTGGTGAGATAGTGTTATTTAACAGGGAAAAATAATGCTAAAGCAAATTTTAAATAATTCTAAAGTAAATTTTAAAAAGTAAAGGTGTCAAGTGGGAGGGAAGTTCAAGAGGAAAGGATACATGTATACATATAGCTGATTCATGTTGTTGCACAGCAGAAATGAACAACATTGTAAAGCAATTGATAACCCTATATGCAAAACAGAAAAAGAGACACAGATGTACAGAACAGACTTTTGGACTCTGTGGGAGAAGGCGAGGGTGGGATATTTCGAGAGAACAGCATTGAAACATGTATATTATCTAGGGTGAAACAGATCACCAGCCCAGGTTGGATGCATGAGACAAGTGCTCGGGCCTGGTGCACTGGGAAGACCCAGAGGGATCGGGTGGAGAGGGAGGTGGGAGGGGGGATTGGGATGGGGAATACATGTAAATCCATGGCTGATTCATGTCAATGTATGACAAAAACCACTAAATATTGTAAAGTAATTAGCCTCCAACTAATAAAAATAAATGAAAAAAAAATATGAAGGGAAAAAAAAATTTTAAGAAAAGGTGTCAGAAAAAAAGTCAGGAAACTGCTAGGGGGAAAAGAGTACAGAAGGAGGAGGGGGGTATCCTCCTCTTTCAGATATAAAAATGCACCAAAAGACACAGATCAATGGAATAGAATAAAGAAATAGATTCAACCATAATAACTTAATGCATGATAGAGATGAACAAAGGATGGAGTAATCGACAATTGGGTTGGCACAACCACACTGCAATGAACAGTCTATTCTTACAGGGAATCAATACTTAGCCTAGGTGACACTGACTTGAAATTGACATCATCAGTAACAGATCACTGGACCTCTATATGCTTTATGCAAAAATTAAGTACAAGATGAATTAGAGAGTTAAATGTCAAAAATAGAGCCATGAAAATAACAAGACACATTTTAAGTGAATATTTGTATAATCTCAGAATGGAAATGATATTTCTAAGCAAAACATACAGGCAGAAACGATGAAGGAAAAGATTGATGCACTTAACTACACAAAAATTTAAATGCTGTGCATGGTAAAAAAGAACCAGAAACAAATTTAAGAGAAAAATAAGTAACCACGAGAATCATTTGACACACGATAAGATGCTATCCTTATTTTTTAAAAAAGTCATTCTTCCCATCAAGATTAATATCCTAATAGAAAAATGAGCAAAAGACACAGGCAATTCATAGAAGAAGCAATAGAAACAGTCAATAAACACTTGAAAATATATTTAACCTCGTTAATAATAAATTAATTATTTGTCAATATAACCTATAACAAAATAACCATTTTCATATATTGGCAAAAATGAAAATATAATAAAAACAGACTTCTAAAAGTGAATCTGTTTCTAAATCCGAAGATAAAGAAATTTCAACGAACTACAGGAACAATTAAGGATATTAATCCTTTCTTGGTCCTGTATGTCTTCCCTGTTTTGTTTTCATTTTTCATTTGTTTCTGGGCCAAGGGGATTGGACTAGCAGTACCAGGACTGAAGGGACTTTCCAGATAATGGATTACCTACAAGGAGACCAAGCATATCAGAACCAGAACATGTATTGAGGATAATGGAGGTCAGGTTTCTCACTGTTGGAGAAAGGAGTTACCGATACAAAGCTGGAGAAGATCCTGTGCTGATGCATTGGAATTGGGGATGTTTTCATGTGAATTCAGGGTTTTAGACACAAAAGCCAACTTGAAATGAATTCTGGGACAATTTGAGGATCAAGATAAATAATATTATTAATGTGATACAGGGCTTCCCTGGTGGCTCAGATGGTAAAGAATCTGCCTGCAATGTGGGAGACCTGGGTTTAATCCCTGAGTTGGGAAGATCCCCTGGAGGAAGGCATGGCAACCCGCTTCAGTATTCTTGCCTGGATAATTCCATGGACAGAGGAGCCTGGCAGGCTACAGTCCTTGGGGTCACAAAGAGTCAGACACGACTGGGTGACTAAGCACTGCACATAATGTGATATAAACCACTGAATAAAATAGGAATCCATGAATAAATAATATAAAGAGATAGATAAATGGGGAAGAAGAGGCTTTACCTTACAGGAGAATGCAAATTTATAAATGTACAAGGAATGATAGAATCAGATAAACATTTGGCAAACATTAAAACTATTTCAGGCAAGAATCAATGGATGCTAAAAAGTTTAATGAGAAACAGAATATTTGCATTACCTCAATATATCTCCCTACAAAATATTTGCTATTTAAAAAAGTAGAAAATATTAACTTTCCAATATAAAAACGTGGCAGACACCATCTTAACCAAAATTATTCTTAACAGCAATAGGACTTCTGCTTCCAGGAAGATGGAGTGGGTGTACTTATCCCTGTTCGTTTTGCTAAATACAGCCGAAACCCTGGACACTGTCTACGAAAAGAATATAACTTATGACTCAAAGGTGGAGAAAAGTATGCACAGTGAATAGGAGCTGAAGCGTAACACTGTGTTGAGTTCTGTGGATTTTCTTTTTGCTTCATTTAGTCCAAGCTGGATACTGGATAAGCCAGCTGCCTAGAAACTCCAGTGGGTGTCGACAAAACAAAAGCCTGCAACTCTCAGGCCACAAAAACCAGGCATGGGCCAGCCTAGCAAGATAGAACTTCTACACAGTAACCTCTCTGCTCTACACAAACACCAAAGAAAAAAACACGGCCCCATGCTTCCTCACCACTAGCTAAGGTCTCGTGGGGAGCCTAGGCTTGCCCCCTCA